ATCAATGTTCACTTACATTTACCCACATCTGTACCACTGTCTTGTACTCTTAGTTCCACCTTGCTTCTCAGACATCCCACTTGAATCATTCTCCTCCTTCTGACGTATACCCTCTTCTAGAACTGCCTTTGACGTAGGTCTGCTGGTGGTGACACTCAGCTTGGGTTTGAAAATATCCTTATTTTGACTTCATTTCTGAAAGGCTTTTTGCCTGGTAATAAAATTCTAGGTTGTCAGGAGTTTTGTTTTTTTCCCAGCTCTTCGAAGCTGTGCATCATCCCGTTAACCTTTAAACGTCCTGTTGTCACTGAACTCCTCTGAAGGAGATCTGTCCTCTGCCGTTTCACTAAGACAGGTCTGGGGGTGATCTTCCTTTTCCCAGCTGTGCTAGTGCTTATCAGGCTGGCACAACCCTTGTATTGTCGGCTGTCAGCAGTTGGGGAAGACTGAGCTATCATCTCTCTAACAACTCCTTCTGATTAAATATATCCCTACATCGCTTCCTGTCCCTGATCAACTGATACCTTAACTTTTGAACACTCCATGCCATCCGTGGATGGCTTCTGACCTATTTTCCAGTTTATTAACTCACAATTCACCTATGTCTAATCTACAGTTAAGCCTACCCACTGAGTTCTTAATTTAGGTTATTGTATTTCTCAGTTCTAAAAATTCTATTTATTTCTTTTCCATATCCAGTATTGTCACATTTTGTAGTTCCCTGAAGAAATTCTGGAGTTTGTCTTTTATTTCTTTAAGCATAATAGCCACCAGCTGTTTCACAGTCTTTGATAATTCTAATGTCTGGAGTCTTCATCATTATTTGCATACTGTTTCTGCTGGTTCCCAGTCACTGTCTGGCTGGCTTTGTGTCATGGACACTATACTTGAAAAGTTTTTAGGAGTAAGGGGCCTTCCTCCAGAGAGAAGTGAGGACTAGTTCATTTTAGGTTCACCTTACCCTGAGGATGAGCCCTTTGGAATCCCAGCTTACTATTCATTTGTGGGTGATGGGATTGCCTCGTCGTTCCTGGTCGACTGATACTTCATTAGGGTGGATCTAGGCGTGGGTCTCTTCATTCAGCGCACAGGGCACTCTGTGGGTCCTTCCAATCAAGGTTGTCAGAGGTCTGGAGATGTCCTTCAACTACTTCCGTCTCCTTGAGTCTGTCTTTCTGAGACCCTGATGATCTGAGGTTGGACCTCCTAGGTGGGCCTCCATCTATTACCTTTTCTCTCCATTCCCAGTTGTTTGTTTCCTTATGTTCCAGGAAAACCCTCAACTTTCATCTTTCAGCCCTTCTACTGATTCTTTTTTTAAATTCTGGTAATCATTTTTAATCTTGCTCTTATTTAATGATTGCACTTTTGTTTTTGCATGGGAAGATTCGCCCTAAGCTAACATCTGTTGCTAATCTTCCTCCTTTTTCCTTCCTTTTCCCCCTAAGGCCCAGTACATAGTTGTGTACAGTTGTAAAAGTTCTTCTGGTTCTTCTATGTGAGCCGCCACCGCAGCACAGCTACTAACAGACGAGGGGTGTGGTTCCACGCCCAGGAACCGAATCCCGGCCACTGAAGCAGGGTGCACCAAACTTTAACCACTAGGCCATCAGGCTGGCTCTGATTGTACTTTTTAAAAAATGGTATTTTAGGGGCCGGCCTGGCGGTGTAGTGGTTAAGTTTTTGCGCTCTGCTTTGGCGGCCTGGGGTTCGCGGGTTTGGATCCTGGGCGCTGACCTATGCACCACTCATCAAGCCACACTGTGGTGGTGCCCCATGTATTAAAAAAACGGAGGAAGATGGGCACAGATGTAAGCTCAGGGCCAAATCTTCCTCAGCAAAAAGAGGAAGATTGGCAACAGACGTTAGCTTATGGCTAGTCTTCCTCACCAAAAAAAAAAAAAAAAAGGTATTTTATTCTTTTAAATTTTCCTCAGTTCTCTGTATTATCTCAGTTTCCTTTGAGGTGAGTTTCTCTGATTATCAAGGGCTCTCTCAGCATGATGTTTTTCATTATACCCAATGATTGTTGTTGTCTGTTCACATCTAGTAGTCTATTCTTATCTCAGGGTGAGGAACTGGTATTTGTGTGTATTGTGTAAGGAGATTGATTTTCTGCCCTGGCGTCTCCCAGAGCAGGCCTTTCACTGATGCTGACCAGGACTCTGTCTACACAGATGAGTTATGTGAACAGCTGGCTTCACTTTAGGACACAGGCCCTCAACAGCCAGGATAAGGAAGGCTTTCCTTTGTGGACACCACTAGTCATCTAAAACTCTTAGCTCTCCCCAAAAGAGTTTGCTAAATTTCTTTAGAGAGGTGGACTGGCTCCCTGTTTTTCTCCCATCACCCACCCTGAGTAGGCTCAACCTTTCTAGGCAAGAATAAAAGGAAAGAGCAGTCTGAGCTTCAAGGGGTCACCCCCAGTCCAACTCTAGGCCAACTGGACAGTTCACTAGGAAAATGAGCTTCTGCCATTTCTGGTGACACCGTTCCTTCAGGCAGGGCTGCCAACAGGTAGAACCAGCCAGATGAGATGGATGAGCCACTCCTTATTTATTGTCTGCACTGCCTTCAACCAGGATAGGAGAAACACCACACGCACGCCATACCTAGAAGCTCACCAAGCACAGGTTCAACTGAACCCTTTTCTATACAAATAAAAATCTTTTCCTCATGTCCTCATCTTTGCCTGAGGCACAACACTTTTCCAAACTCCTCCTCAGACTTTCCCCCAGTGGAGGAGCTGGCTTGACAGCTGCTTTGCTGCTAACTAATAATTACTCTTTTGCATGTGGTGTATCTCTATTATGATATCAGCATGGGAAGGGATCCCCCTAATTGAGCAACCAGAGGTCAAGGGCACTGATGCCTCACTGGCCCTTCTGCTCCCTTTAGCCTACCTCCAAGCTGTCCTTGGCTGACTTTATGCCTGTAGTAGCCAAAACAACCACACTCTGAGTTTCCTTCTCCTTATTTTGTCTATTTTTCTACCAGATCTTGGTACAGCCTCCACACACTTCCCTGAATTCACCTATTCTATCCCTGATGGATTCGCACCCCTCTTCCCACATTACACGTTCTCTCTCCAATCAAACACTGCCCCTTCCAAGAGAGAACCACCAGGGTCAACACTCCCCACCTCCATCCTCCTCATTCTTCTATCCTCTATCCCACCTGTCAACTCCAAGCCCAAAGCCTTTTAGCAAAGAGCCTGCATTAAAGGCGTTCCCTCCCTACTCCAGTTCATTCTGAGCCACAATACTCCTGACCTAATTTCCACTTAAAAGAGATCTGGTGACATGTTTATTTTTTCAATGACCACGTCTCTCACTGCCTTCACCATTAGCGGCCTCATTTTGAATTTTTCTGTACTTTCTATACTCACATCTAGGGGGCCATTAAAATATGTGATTATGACACATCCACAAAAAACATCAGCCACAAGAGTGGGTGTTTGAGGGAAATAAAATCATAAAGATAAACATGACGTCAAAAAACTTTCCTTCCTCTACTGGAATAGAAAAGAAAGTACCGGTCTGGCCAGATAGCACGTAATAGTATAGTCAAACACTGGGTTCCAGTAATCATAATTGTCAGCATTTATTGAAGCACAAGTTAAGCACTTCATATGCACTAACTCATTTATTCCCCCATGTCAACCATCTGGAGCTGAAAGCCTCACCATTTAAAAAATTATTTCTGCCTTACTACAAAAGTAATATACATTCATAATGGAACACTTGGAAACTATTTTAAAAAACAAAGAAAATTTAAATTACCTATTATGATGGTTAATTTTATGTGTCAACTTGGCTAGGCTATGGCGCCCAGATGTTTGGTCAAATACCAGTTAGATGTTGCTGTGAAGGTATTTTGTAGATGTGATTAACATCTATAATCAGTTGACTTTAAGTGAAACAGATTACCCTTGATAATGTGGGTGGGCCTCATCCAATCAGTTGAAGGCCTTATGAGCAAAAACTGAGGTTTCCCAAAGAATTCTGCCTCAAGACTGTAACATAGAAACCCTGCCTGAGTTTCTAGCCAGCTGGACTGCCCTATGGATTTTGGATTTGCTGGCTCCTATAATCACATGAGCCAATTCCTTAAAATAAACCTTTCTCTCTCTCTCTACAAATATCTATGTACATATCCTATATATACACCCTATTGGTTGTTTCTCTGGAGAACTCTGACTACCAACACACCCATAATTTCACCAGCCAAAGAGAATTTCTATTAATATTTTTCCATTCTTCCAGTCTTTTTTCTATGTACTTATGGTATATATGTATATATAGGGTATATATATGTAACCTATACATATGTATGCGTATGAGTATATATACACACACACATATATGTAATTTTACACATCAGACACAGACACACACACACACTAGATTGATCAACTCATTCCAGTTTGCCTATGACATTCCCAGCTTTAGCAATAAAATTCCCACATCCTGGCAAACTGGGATGGTTGGTCACCTTAACACATACACATAAATACATTTTTTTCCTTTTTAAATCAAACTGTGATCATTCTGTACATACTGTTTTGTAACCTAATCTCTTTAGTTCTTCAGTTAAAAACATATTGTGGCTATTTCCCCAAACTTCCCAAAAGACTCAATCGTGACATCATGTTTAACGGCTGCATTGCATTTCCTTTTTGTGACTGTATCCTTTCAGTTAACCAGCTCCCTGTTACTGGATATCCAGGTTTCCAGTTCTACTACTTTATATTATCTTTGGTTCTAAAACCAATGCAGGCTGGAACAGTAGGGAAAAATTCATACGCACACACACAAGTGCAGACTGCAGGCCTCAATGACAGCCACATTGTCCTTTAATAAAATAGTGACCATTCTCAGTCTCTGACATCTGTGCCGGTGGAGCTAAATGACAGAAAAAAATGAGGCAACCTCTCTCCACTCGCCTACAACGACATGCGTGGGGGCGCATTAAAACTTAAAAAGACAGTAAATCTTTACCTTTTTAATTCATTTACAATTGAAGCATGAACTTTCATTGCAATTTTGCCATCCAAGCGTGTTTTTAGTTCTTGGCATTCGTTACGCAAAATTTCCAGTTGCTCCTTGTTTCCAGCTAACTCCTTTTCTTGGCTCTGTGTTTTAGCCTCCAGCAGTGTTAGCTGTTTTGTCAGCTTAGAAACTGAAAGACAAAAGAGATGGATAAAGACTTGGTACAGAAGACTTAACAAAACATGATTACTGATTACTAGGTAATACTGATGAGAGCCAGCTTATAAAAAATGACCTTTTAAAAATCTTTTGGAGATTTATAAACCAATACCAAAGGCCGTGTACTTAGAAATTACCATCCCTAGATTAAGCATTCACTAAATATACACTTTCTTACTGGGCCCAATATATTGATATTATTGCTAAATATATAATATTTAACAAGACATGATTCCAGTCTTCAAGGAACCGACTTTCCAAAGACTGAAGCTTTAAGTCACACACAGATGTGCGAAGTATATACATCATGATGTTGTCCCTAAAACTGCAAAATTTTCAAGATTTTTAAGGACATCAAATATGGCCCAACTAAGGACCAAATTTATTATTTTTATTGCCTTTCCTCATTAAATTTTTATGTTTTATGTCCTGTATCTAAAGTAAATCATAAATATTTTCATCCTATGTGACATGGTAGCATGTAATAATAAAATACTTCCCAGGCATATGTTGAAACTAGCACTCAGAAGTATTATAGGATAAACTTTAAGTCCTTCTACTCTACAAAAACATTTAGTTGATCAAAATAAATAGCTCTTTCTGGGAAATGGGAAAATAATAGGCAGGTGACTGAATCATAGGCCAAAAGGTTGGTCCTGCCCCACATGACCAGAAGAATCATCATACCTGTTCAGATCTGCTATGTTTGAGAAAATTAAGCTCAGTAAATACAAAATGAATTTTGTTGTCATCTCTAATCTTGACAACAAAGATAGGAGGCTCAACAACTTTCTCTCTCCTCCACCCCCAACAATGCTGAGAAAAGGCAAATACTTCTCTGCCCCTCAAAGTCTACGGGAAGCCTACAAGTCCTTGTAGGACTCTTCGAGAGATGCTCTCACCTTTGAACGTGACCTGGCTATCAGAAACAAGTGAAGTGCAGCCCAGTGGCTTCAGCAACAGCAGAGGCTGGTAGTTAACTCATCCACAGTGTAGAAGGGGAATGGTTAAATAATCAGGTACAGAAGGGAAAACAGAAAGGAGGGGTTACATTGGCTCACGCCAGACAGCTTGTATTTTAGCCTCCTGTCCTATATTATTGTTATTTTTTGTTGTTGCTAGGGCCATTGAGTCGATTCCGACTCCCAGAGACCCTGCAGACAGCACAGTGGAATCCTGCCTGGTCTTTTGGCGCTATCCTCTCACCTTCTGGGGAGAGGAGAATATCACACAATATCAGACGGTGCTCTGCTGCTATTCATAAGTTTCTCATGGCCAGTTTTTTCAGAAGTGGGTGGCCAGGTCCTTCTTCCTAGTCTGTCTGTCTGGAAGCTCTGCTGAAACCTGTCCACCATGGGTGACCCCGCTGGTATTTGAAATAGCAGTGGCATAGCTTTCAGCATCACAGCAACATGCAGCCACCACAGTATGACAACCGACAGACGGGTGGTGTGGTTCCCTGACTGGGAAACGCACCCAGGCTGCGGCAGTGAGAGCACTGAATCTTAACCACTAGACCACCAGGGCTGGTTTATATTATTCTTAACTGGGAAAGAAAAATCAGTACAGCAAAAGGAAAAAAATGCCCCTATCTTTTGTGCTCATAAATTCTGGTTTTAATCAAAGCAGAAGAAATGACCCAATCTGGCCCACTTCCAAGTCCACTGCCATATGCTGTGAGCTCCCAGGGCAGAGAGGGACCCATGGGGAGAGGGGTGCTCAGAGAAGGTATCTGACAGAGGTTTAACCTCCAACAGCAGCCACAGCTCTGAAGGAAGGGCAAGAGCACAAAAACTGTTTAGAGAGTGAACAGTTCTGATTTATTTACTCATTCAACAAATATTCAGGAAGAGATCCCTATATTGTTTCAAATATTCACCTCATATGATTTTTCCCACTTATATGCCACTATCTTCCCCTAAAACCAGTTCTGTTGACTCTAAAGCTGTCACCTACAACTGATTTACAAAATATAGAGAACAATTAGAGAGACACTGGAATTTAAGAGAAGGCAATCAATGCATTACGGGTAATGGCTGGATATGTCGTCACATAGACGGCTGCATTTCAGTAAAGAAGAATGTATTCTAAAAAACACAATTTTCCTCATTTTCAGTTCAAAAGGGGTCCCTACAGGAGGGGGCTAGTGTAAAATGACACAACAGCAACATCGCAGCACCGCCATCATTCACAGGAAGACCACTCACCTTCCTGCAGACGCTCCTGGTGGGCGTCCTTGGCTTTTCTTTGCTGAATCTCCAACTGCTCTATCAACAACTTGTTTTCCTCTAAAACCAGTTCTGCTTGAGTCTGAAGCTGATGCCTACAATGGATTTACAGAATTAAATACCGCCATTCAGGTACTGAATGATTACAGAGACTCCGGAGTCTCAGAGAACGCAACTGATGTGTGGTAGGAAATGAACATCTGGATATGTTTCAATGCTAAATATGTTATTAACACAAATCCTGCCATTTGCATTAAGTTGGGGGAAAGGAGAGTCATGAGGTTGAATTATGTACTGCTTCAGTAACTTTTTAAAATGTAAAATTTCAAACATATACAAAAGCAGAGAGAAGAGGAGAATGAACTCCAAGTACACAACACCCAGCCTGAGCAATTACCAGATGGCCAGTCTTGGGTCATCTATAGAAACCTCCAATCCCCACACCCAGTGGATTGTTTTGAAGCCAGCATGAAATATTTTTAAAGAATTTAGAAAGTTTCCATTTTATTTAAAAAATACTCCCTTGTAATCAGTAGCATATTTGTCAAAAAACAATGACTTTGTTAGAAGCTTTTGAATGATTTCTTAAACTGTCCTGAGAGTCCCCAGCCTTAATTTCACACGAGCAGACCCTTTCCTTACAGACGGTTCAAAGTAAGTCCCAGCCCAGCTCAACCTTCATGATGGCAAATTCCAACTAGAGTGAGCTGAGGGGACCTTAGAAATGGCCTGGTTAGATGTTTGCCACCTAAAGTTCACTGTAAACCAGTAAATTAAATTTTACTGGTTTTTAACTGGTAAATTAAATTTTACCAGTTTAAATTTTCCACTTTAAACTCAAAAAATGACACAGAAGAAGGAGAGGAAAAAGATGAAAGTACCCTTTCGACAACATGCATGGACCTTGAGGGCATAATGCTGAGTGAAATAAGCCAGACAGAGAAAGACAAATACTGTATGATCTCATTTATATGTGAAATCTAAGAAAACCCAACCAAATTCACAGAGAAAGATCACTTTGTGGTTACCAGAGGTGGAAGGGTATGGGGAGGGGAACTGGATGAAGGTGGTCGAAAGACACAAACTGCCAGTTACAAGGTAAGCAAGCACTTAGGATGTAATGTACACCGTGAGGACTACAGCTAGCACTGTTGTATGGTGGATTTGAAAGGGCTTAAGAGAGTAGATCCTAAGGGTTCTGATCACAAGGAAAAAATACATATATATATTTTTTGGTATCTATATGAGGTGACAGATGTTAACTTATTGTGGTAATCATTTCACAATATATGTGAGTCAAATCATTATGCTATAACCCTAAACTTATACAGTGCTGTATGTTAATTATATCTCAATAAAACTGGAAAAAAAGATGACAGGAGTCAAACTACAGCAATTACTTCACTCCACTGGCTGTGCACTAGCTCCCTGGCACCCTGGCGGCATCCCGACAGCTACCCCGACCCATACAGGGAGGGGAGCTCACCCAGGCTGGTCAGCTCCAGCCTCCTTACTCCTGCCTCAAGCAGAGCAGCCCCACTGCGGTCTGTTTTACTTTTTGGACTTTCTTATAAGACTGACTTCCTTCCTTCCTTCCTCCTTCCCTTACTTTTTCCTTCCTTCTTTCCCTACCTCCTTCCTTCCTTCCCTTTTCCCCCTCCCTTCCTTCTTGAAATGAAAAGGATCCTCCATTTGCAAAAAACATTGAAAAACCTCAGATTTAGTTTAACACTCCCTCCCATTTTATAGGTAAAGAAACTGAGGTCCATTAAGCCTGAGGTCACCCAGCTGGTCAGGGGAAGTTAGGAAAAGAAATGTAGAGAGTTTAGTTGCAGCCCAGAAGTTCATTGAAAAATTATTCTCCTGAAACTCAGGAGGACGTTTCTACTGAACCAGGGAGTCGGTGTGCCCGAGTATGTGACAGGGAGCTACTGTGCCTCACACCTGTGCAGGGACAGGGAGCAGCTGCCAGGGAGGCACAGGGGAGGGCATAACTGTGAGGGGCTTCAGGGGTGGGAGATCTGCCTGTGGAGTGTGATGCTCCAGAGCCCCACCCTGCCCCAGCTGGAGGACAGTGAATGCAGAGAAGGGGCAGGCCGGCCAGCGGCCTCCACAGACACTGCTCAGACCTAACCGCGCCCCCCGCAGCACAGGCCACCACACTAGAGCAGGGAGCGGATTTCAAACCCCAATTAACACAGGATTGGGGAGCGCTGTGGGCACGTGGATTTGTCTTTCCTCCCTTCATTTTATTTGCTTACTTTTATTTTAAGGAAAAGTAAACAGGTTTGACCTGCAGCTACACACAAGGTTAGAGAAAGCATCTGAGGGTCCAGGTTCTCACGAGGGCTCCTGGAGGCACATGAGGCCGAGTGTAACTGACCTGCTTTCCAGGGCGCTATTCAAGGAGGGTTTGAGGGGAGACACACTAGGAACCCCGACAGAAGGAAATCCAAGTTCAGGAGGGGAGCTGCAGTGCACCAAGATCCAGCTGCTGCCCAGCCAGTCTCAACTAACACATGGGTGACCACAAAATCAGAGAGAACGGACCCGCTGGTAAGAATGCTATTGACCTGATTCCAAAGTTCTGGACGTCACATATGGAAAATATTTCATTTTTGTCAGTGATGTTAAGCCATTTAAAAAATACTAAATATAACATACCTACCCAAGGTGAAAAAGATATATCTGAATAGTTTTTGCTTTCTTAGTCTTGCCTGGATGTTGCCTTTAGACTTTCGAAGACATTTACTTTCTCGAATTCACTGAATAGGCATTTGTTGCTGCCGTGCTGGAGGAACAGGATGTGGCCCTGCCCTTGAGCAGCTCACAGAGGAGAAGAGGGAGAGAGACGTGGAGACACACAGGCAGGCACGGTGTGGCAGGTACCAGGACAGGGCGAGTTTAGGGCTACGTCAGAAACTGAGGGAAGGGAGCAATTAACTCAGGGAGAGCTACTGACCGGTGCCATCTGAGCAGGGCCCTAAGGGATGTGCAGAAGGGGCATTCCAGGGGAAGCAGCACGAGCACCAGGACGGAAGTCAGGCAACACTCAGCTGTCAAAGAACAGAAGGTCTGCATAGAAGGGGAGGGGCATTAACCCAGACTTTCTGTGCTGAAGCCCTGGGAGCCATCAGAGGGGTCCAAGAAAGGATGTGATTTGACAGGTTTGGGGGGGAAAAACACCCTAGAAAAAGACAACCTCAGAAAATAAGAATGGGGACAGCAAATATATTTCAGGTTTAAAAACCTATTTGGAATTTTTAAAGTAATCTTTAAAGTACAAGTTTAGAATAAATTACTCGGATTTCATTGTACCTTATTAATTTCTTAGGCTCTAAATATTTTAGTCTAAAAAAGAAACTGCATTGCTGATGTAGTCGCGTTTACTCCTATGACGACTGTTTTGCATTAGTAGAATACCAGAAACGCAACACCACTTGCCATTCCTCTCTGGTAACAGGACTACTCTTATTTAACTCCTGGTGCAATTCTTCATTTTCCTTCACCACTTCTTGGACTCGCATCCTAAACATTCTCATTTCCTCCTGAAATAAAATTTATGCAAATTGTAACACACACATACACACATATCTCCAGCTCTTAGCTCTAGTGCTGCTGCTGTGGCTGAAACCACACGTCGACAGCTTTTCAGCGAAGCCACACAGTAACAGCAGCCTGGAACGCGGTTCCAGCACCGAGCGCCTGCCCGCAAAGAGCTCACCGTCTGCGGGGAAAACACCCGAGACAACTGCACGCTGAGGACAAGGCACAAGGGACCTCGGGTTTTAAATATTCAACTCCCAATCTGATAACATTTTTCTCTAACTGCCAATACTTGACAAGATAAAAAGGGAGATAAAAAAAGCCGAGATGCCCATTAACACTGTAATTTTTCCTTTGTTTAAAGACTATGGAGGATAAATTGGAGCTTCTTAGATAAAAATAAGAACTTCTCATCCTAATTAAAGCCCATTTTGGTGGGAAAGGGGTTAGTTAGTGTGGGGATGGAGTCTTAATTTTGCCCTGTTACAAGCACGAGGAAGCCTCTCACTGAAAGTCGTCAGTCAGGACAGCCTCACCATCAGCAGCCGGTGGGCCAGGCTCAGTGTTCGTCTCCTAACACTGTTGGTGGCCTTTCTGCTGGGCCTCCTCCATCAGGCCTTTCTCAGCAGCCCGTGGCCAGCTTCAGTGTCTAGTGGTGACCTTCGGTGAGAATCTCAGGTGCCAATATTTATTCTGGGATGCTTCTAAATATTCTTCCCCCAGCTATCAGACATTTATGCTTACACCTGCTTAACGCAAAGCAACAATGCCAAGTGACTCTTCCTCACCTTTCTGCCCAGGCACACTCCCCACTTGCTGGCAGTCCACTGGCTCTTTAGAAGAGGGGTCAGGCAAACTCAAGCGTGCAGGCCAGCCGCCTGTTTTGCAAACAGAGTTTTATGGGGACTCGGCCATGCCCATTTATTTCCACCTTGTCTCTGGCTGCTTTCCTGCCACAATAGCAGAGACTGCATGGCCTGCAAAGCCTAAAATATTTCCTAAGTTGCCTTTTACAGAAAATGTTTCCTGACCCCTGTTTTAGAAGGAGCACCAAATTAGTAATTTTATTAATTATTTGGATTGATATTTCATCAATTCGTATAAGATTAATTCACTCTCTTAAAAAATTAAGTGTCTGACAGGAAGTCTAGAGAAAAGGTTCAAAACTGCATTACACGGGCCATGGACATGGAACATGATAACAAGAACAGGCTGGGTGACTCTTCTGGGATCGCAGAAAACCAACACTTCTCTCTCTGGATCCTTCCAATTTCAGAGATCTCTTTGGCCAATTAAATGAGGAACAGAGGTATGCAGCATGGAAGGGCATGGGACTTGTCTTCAACACCCGCACAGCCTTGGTCTCCTGTATAATTATAATGAGCTCTACTGCCAGGAGCCATTCCCATGAAACAGAGCTGAACAAGGCAGAAATGAATAAAAACCTCACTGCTTCCAACAGCTCCATAATTGGACTTCCCAGAGGTTAGCTCTTCCTAGAATTCCTAGAATTCTGCCTAGAACATCCCTGTCCTGCTACCTTCCCCTGTCTGCCCAAATGTCCCTTCTAACAGTGTTTGCAGCTACAGAGCACCAGGAAAGGCGCCTCCCACTGCGGCCTTCTCTGCACCCCAAGATCCCAGCCCACGCGGGGCTGCCTGTCTGGGAAACCATGGTTTCCAATGCAGCACTGCCCCGATCCTCATCCCTCCCCCATCTATCCCTGCCCACGTCCCCTGCCCCACTCATCACCCACTCCCCTGCCTACCTTCTGCCTTCTTTCCGCCTTCCTTTGTCCACCCTGGCCCCCCCCTTCCTTTGACAAACATTTAAGTACCTACTAGGTGTTGCACATACCTACCTTCAAAATGTTTCTTCCAAGTTTGAATCGGTCTTATTTTTTATAAACCTTTTCTCTCCTGAGAGATTTGCCAGCCTACCTTATTTTTTATAAACCTTTTCTCTCCTGAGAGATTTGCCAGCCTACCTGGAAGGAGGCATTGAGCTCGTCCTTCTCTTTCATTCTGTCTTCATAAGCCAGCAACAAGGGTGACAGGTACTTTATATCCAACTGAACATAATGGAATAAAAAAGGTTAATATATTTATTTCTTACACCTAAACACAATCAGCAAATTTTTTAAAAGGTAATAAAATACACTTAATTTGGAATAGTTTTTATTAGCTATTCAAATATAGCCCAGAAAACATGGGCCTGAAATTACACAACTTTCACTTACCAACCAGGGCGGTGCAGGGCCCTTTGACGGGAGGCCTTCAATATTTAAACTCTAAGAACAAAACAAATAGTGAAGACAAATGAAACTACACTTCCTCTGAAATTTCAAGCCATAGATATTCCTAATCTAGACGATGCAATCTATGCATCTATATGTATGTATATATGCATGTTTGTATACATATGAGAAAAATTTCTTCTGAAATGTTTGAGTAATTTGCAGATATTATGCCCTTTTTCTTCTAAATACTTCAGTATATATTTCCTAGAAACAAAAACATTCATTTACTTAACCATAGTACTAACATGAAAATCAAGAAATCATCGATACAATACTATATTCTAATCTACAGATTATCTTCAAATTTTGCCTCTTTTTGCCCATTTTCTATGAGTTTAACTTTTTTTTTTTAGGTTCCACTGAAGTAATACTATTCAGTATTTGTCTTGCTTTGTCTGCCTTATTTCACCAAGTATAACACCCTCCAGCTTCATCCATGTTGTCACAAATGGCAGGATTACCTTATTTTTAAAGGCTGAATAATATCCCATTTTGTATATACATATATAATATAAATGCAAATCATCTATACACATATATCATAAATCATTTATATATCATAAATCATATATATCTCACATTTTCTTTATTCATTCATTGGTCAATGGACACATAGGTTGCTCCCATACATTAGGTAATGTGAGTAATGCTGCAATGAACAGGGCAGTACAGACATCTTTTCGAGATAGTGATTTCAGTTCCTTCAGAAGTGGGATTGCTAAATCATATGGTAGTTCTACTTTTAATTTCCTGAGGAACTACCATACTGTTTTCCATAGTAGCTGAACCAATTCATATTCTCACCTGCAATGCACAAGGGTTCCCTTTTCTCCATATCCTCACCAGCATTTGTTTGTCTTTTTGATAATAAACTCTCTCTGTGGTTTTGATTTGCATTTCCCTGATGATTAGTAATGCTAAGCTCCTTTTCATGTACGTGGTTGGCCATTTATATGTCTTCTTTGGAAAAAAGTCTACTCAGGTCCTTTGCCCAATTTTAAAATTGGGTTATTTGTTTTTGTGCTATTGAGTTGTATGAGTTCCTTGTATATTTTGGATATCATCAGATATGTGGTTTGCAAATATTCTCTCCCATTTCATAGGGTGCCTTTCCATTTTGTTCATAGTTAACTTTGCTGTGTAGAAGATTTTTATTTTGGTGTAGTCCCATTTGTTTATTTTTGCTTTTGTTGCCTTTGCTTTTGGTGTCAAATCCAAAGAATCATTGCCAAGGCCAATGTCAAAGAGTTTTATGGTTTCAGGTCTTATGTTCAAGTTCCTAATCCATTTTGAGTTGATTTTTGTCTATGGTGTAAGACAGGGGTTCAGTTTAATTCTTCTGCATGAGGATATCCAATTTTCCCAACATGGGTTATTGAAGAGACTCTCCTCTCTCCATTGTATATTCTTGGCTCCTTTATCAAAAATAAATTGACCATATATACATGGGTTTATTTCTTGGCTCTCTACTCTGTTCCACTGATCTATGTGTCTGTTTTTATGCCAATACCATACTGTTTTGATTACTGTAGCTTTGTAATACAGTTTGAAATCAGCAGGTGTGATGCCTCCAGTTTTGCATTTTCTCAAGATTGCTTTGGCTAGTCAGGGTCTTTTGTGATTCCATATGTATTTTAGGATTGTTTTATCTATTTCTGTTAAAAATGCCATTGGGATTTTGTTAGGGATTGCACTGAATCTGTAGATCACTTTGGGTAGTATGGACATTTTAACAATATTAATTCTTCCAATCCATGACAAATGGAATATCTTTCCATTTATTTGTGTCTTCAATTTCTTTCATCAATGTTTGATAGTTTTCCATATACAGATCTTTCATCTCTTTAGTTAAATTTATTCCTAAGTATTTTATTCTTTTTGATGCTATTGTAAATGGGATTGTTTTCTTAATATCTCTTTCCAATAGTCTGTTGTTAGCATATAGAAACACAACTTATTTTTGTATATTGATTTTGTATCCTGCAACTTTACTGAATTTGTTTATTAGTTCTAACGGTTTTTTGGTGGAGTCTTTAGGGTTTTCTATAATGTAATATCATGTCATCAGCAAACAGAGATAATTTTACTTCTTCCTTTCCGATTTGCATGCCTTTTACATCTTTTTCTTGCCTAACTGCTCTGGCTAGGACTTCCAGTACTATGTTGAATAAAATGGTGAGAATGGGCATCCTTGTCTTATTTCTGATTTTAGAGGAGAAGCTTTCACCTTTTCACTGTTGAGTATGATGTCAGCTGTGAGCTTGTCATATATGGCTTTTGTTATGTTGACATATGTTCCTGCTATACCCCATTGAGTTTTTATCATGAAAGGATGCTGAATGTTGTCAAATGCTTTTTCTGCATCTACTGAGATGATCATATGATTTTTATTCTTCATTTAATGTGGTGTATCACATTGACTGATTTGCATATGTTGAACCATTCTTGCATCCCAGGAATAAATCACACTTGATTGTGGTGTATGATCCTTTTACTGTACTGTTGAATTCAGTCTGCTAATATTTTGTTAAGGATTTTTGCATCTCTGTTCATCAGGGATATTGGACTGTAATTTTCTTTTCTTGTAGTGTTCTTGTCTGGCTTTGGCATCAGGGTAACGCTGGTTTTGTAAAATGAGTTTGGAAGTGTTCCTTCTCTTCAATTTTTTTGAAGAATTTGAGAAAGATTAAAATGTTTGGCAGAACTCACCAGTGAAGCCATCTGGTCTTGGACTTTTCTTCGTTAGTAGGTTTTTGATTACTGATTCAATCTCCTTACTAGTAACTGCTCTGTTCAGATTTTCTATTTCTTTACGATTCAGTCTTGGTAGGTTGTAGGTTTCTAGAAATTTATCCATTTCTTCTAGGTTATCTAATTTTTTGGCTTATGATTGTTCACAGTAGTTTCTTATGATCCTTAGTATTTTTGTCTTCTTGTAGCGTCTCCTCTTTCATCTCTAATTTTATCGAGTCTTTTTTTTTTCTTAGTCTAGCTAAAGGTTGGTTAATTTTATCTTTTCAAAAAACCAATTCTTAGTTTCATTGATGTATTCTATTGCCTTTTTCATTTCATTTATTTCCACTCTGATTTTTATTTTATTCCTTCTACTAACTTTGGGCTTACTTCCAAAGTGCTTCTTTTTATAGTTCCTTGAGGTATAAACTTAGGTTGCTTGAGATTTTCCTTTTTTCTTAATGTTGGTTGTTTATTGCTATAAACTTCCCTCTTAGAACTGCTCTTGCTGCATCCCGTAACTTTTGGTATGTCGTGCTTCCATTTTTCATTTGTATCAAAGTATTTTTTGATTTCTCTTTTGATTTCTTCCTTGACCCTGGCTGTTCAGTAGCATATTGTTCAATCTCCATATATCTGTGAATTTTCCAGTTTTCTTCTTGCAATTGATTTCTAGTTTTATACATTGTGGTCAGAAAAGATGCTTGATATGATTCCAATCTTCTTAAATTTATTAAGACTCGTTTTGTGGCCTAACATATGATCTATCCTGGAGACTGTTCCCTGTTTACTTGAGAACAAAGTGTATTCTGCTGCTGTTGGATGGAAAGTTCTGTATATATCTGTTAGGTCCATCTGCTCTAACATGTAGTTTAAGTCCAATAGCTCCTTATTGATTTTCTGTCTGGATGATCTATCTATTGTTGAAAGTGGGGTACTAAAGTCCCCTACTATTATTGCTGTCTATTTCTCTCTTCAGTTAATATTTGCTTTTTATATTCAGGTGCTCTGATGCTGGGTGCATAAATGTTTACAATTGTTATATTCTTTTGATGAACTGACTCTTTAATCATTATATAATAACCTTCTTTGTTTCTCATTACAGTTTTGGCTTAAAGTCTATTTTGTCTGATATAAGTATAGCTACCCCTGCTTTCTTTTGGCTTCCATGTGCATGGAATATCTTTTCCCATCCCCTCACTTTCGGTCTTTGTGTGTCCTTACAGCTGAAGTGAATCTTCTGTAGGCAGCATATAGTTGGGTCTTGTTTTTTTACCCATTCTGCCACTCCGTCTTTTGACTGAAGAATTTAGCCCCTTCATTTAAAGTAATTATTCATAGGTATGGACACATTATCGCCACTTTGTTCGTTTGCTGGCTGTTTTATACTCCCTTTGTTCCTTTCCTCTTCTCTTACTCTCTTCCTCTGTGATTTGATGATTTGCTGTAGTGGTGTGCTTTGATTTCTTTCTCTTTCTCTTTTGCGTTATCTACTATAGGTTTTTGCTTTGTAATTACCACGAAGGTTACATAAAATATCTTCTAGTTATATTGGTCTATTTTAAGCTGATAACAACTTAACTCTGAGCACATACAAAAGCTCTACATTTTTACACCCCCACACATATTTGTTTTTGATGTCACAACTTACATCTTTTTATACTGTATATCCATTAACCAATTATTGCAGTTATTTTGAATGCTTTTATCTTCAACCTTCATACTAGAGTTATAAGTGATTTACCTGCCACCATTACAATATTGGAGTATGTTGAATTTAATTATATATTTACCTTTAGAAGTGAGTTTTATACTTTCATATGATTTTGTTACTAATTAGTGCTCTTTCTTTTCAGCTTGAAGAACTTCCCTTAACATTTCTTGTAAGGCCAGTCTGCTAGTGATGAACTCCTTCAGGTTTTGTTTGTCTGGGAAACACTTTTTCTCTCTTTCAATTCTGAAGGACAACTTTACTAGGTAAAGTATTCTTGGTTGGCAGATTTTTTTCTCTCAGCACTTTAAATATATCATCCTACTCCCTTGTGGCCTGCAAAGTTTCTGCTGAAAAATCCACTTACAGTCTTACGGGAGTTCCCTTATATGTAAAAAATTTTGTTTCCCTTGCTGCTTTTAAGATTCTCTCCTGTTTTTAACTGTTGACAGTTCAACGGTAATGCGTCTGGTGTGGGTCTCTTCAAAATTCCTGGATCTGAATGTTCTTTCCCTAGGTTAGGGAAGTTTTCAGCCATTATTTCTTTGAATAAGCGTTCTGTCCCTTTCTCGCTTCTCCTTCTGAGACCTCTATGATGCGTGTATTAGTCTACCTGACGTTGCTCCACAAATCCCCTAGGCTCTCTTTGCTCTTTCTCATTCCCTGCTTCTTTTGCTCCTCTGACTGGATAAACTCCACTGCCCTGTCTTTGAGCTCACTGATCCCTTCTTCCACCTGCTCCAGCCTGCTGTGGAACCCCTCTATTGAATTTTTCAGTTCAGTTATTGCATTCTTCAACTTGGTGATTTCTGCTGGGTACTTTTTAATATTTTCTGCCTCTTTGTTGAAATTCTCACTTGTTCATGCACTGCTTTCCTGACCTTGGGGAACATCTCTATGACTGCTATTGTGAACTCTCTATTAAGCTTACTTTATTGAGTAAATCACTTATCTCCATTTCATTCAGACTGGCTTCTGGAGATTTATTTTGTTCTTTTGTTCGGAATACACTCTCCTTTTTCTTCATTTTCCTTGACCCTGTGTGTTGGTTTCTGAGCATTAGATGAAACAGCCACCTCTCCCGGTCTTGGCAGAATGGTCTCTTACAGGAGGTGAATCTCATCAATCAGCCGGGCCCAAGCTCCTGGCTACCCCTCAAACCTCTGTGACCGTCCCAGCCACTGTCCTTGTGCTCAGTGGCTCCCGGTAGTTGAGGGTGTACCAGGACCCACCAGTGTCCCAACGAGGGGGACTGCAGTCAGCACCTAGATGCAGGCTGATTAGAAGCCAGACTCGCAGGCAGCAGCTGGGAAAGTACATAGTTAAACTCCTTCCAGGGAAAAAGTGGGAGATGGTCGTTTTTGTCTGCTCCCTGTGCTGAGCACAGGTGTTCAGCCTTGGCGGGGTGGGGGCTGGGTGTGTTCCTGTGCCCGTTTAAAAACTGCTTCTTTGTTTGCTGTAGTCCTGTGTGGGACTCATGAATACAAGCTCCATTGGCCATCAGAGCTAGGTGATTTGGGGGCCCATAAAAACTAGTCTGCTTTCTTTTTAAAATTTGTGCACTGACAAACCACAGCTGTAAACTTGAGGAACAGGACTGAGAATGGAGCAGCTGACATGGATTTTCATCTTTTACTTTATATAAACTTCTGTACTATCCCAATATTTTTACAAAGAGCCTTTATTGCCTGTTATGAGAAAGGAGGGAAGGAAGGAAGGGAGGGAGGGGGGCAAAGAGGGAGGGAGGGAGAGAAGAAAACAGCAAGGTCCCAAGAAAGACTGTGCTTTGTACGTATCTGTTTTATACCAAATTACAATAAATATGAACCCCCTCAGGATTGGAAATCAATTCAACAGAAAAGCTTAAAACATCTGAAAACTGATTTTTCTTAATTGGAAACATTACCTCTTCCTTGGATAAAGGCCTGAACTTTGTTTGATATCTACTCAGTTCTACATTCAAACGATGGACAGTCATTTTCAACCCATCATTTTCATCCACCAGATCTTGAGCTTGTTTTCTTAGATAAAGTAATTCAGGCACAGCAACTACTGGAAAAAAATTAATATTATACTATAAGAACTTGTATCAAATTGATTAAGATTTTATATAAAGTGCTAATCATCTGCCCTTTTTTTCCCTTTTAGGCTCACAGAGGCAGTGAATGACAGATATATAGGTATAAATGAATAAAAGTTATTAAATTTTTTAACATTGAATCGTCAACACTGTTTTGGAAGTTTTTGCATGTATAATTAAGGTAAAACAAAAATTTTAGATTGGAAAGTGTGGGGGATCAGAATTGGCCACCCCAAAATCTGCCTCTGGCATGAGGATTATTTTGGGCTGGTTACTTTTAAAAACTACAGACACAGGAAAAGCTCTGAAAACCAAATAAAAATAGAAGTTATCCTTTGTAAGAGAGATTTACATTTGTAAGGGAAATCTCCATTTGTAAAGGTATCTCCCTCTCTGTACCAGGGAGAGGGAGGATGACCTTATCTCTAGAAACTCTTATCAATGTGCAAGGCGAGGACTTAAATCTGCATAATAACCTTACTCTTTTTACTGTGCTTTTCTGGTAATCTCCCATAACTGACTCCCCTCACCCCCAATATCCTCCTTTGTCCTCAGCTGAAGACGGTATATAAGGTGAGAGCTTCTGCCATTTTGGCGAGTTACCCAGTTTCTCCTGGGTCTTTCCCATGTATACATGTTATAAAGTCTTGTTTGATTTTCTCTTGTTATTCTGTCTCATGTCAATTTAATTCATAGCCCAGCCAGAGGACCTAGAGTGGGTAGAGGAAATGTCTTCCTCCCCTACAAAAGGAAAAGTCATTGTTTCCAATAATATATAAATATTTGCCTTGCAAACCATACCCAGTAAATGAAAAAATTATTAGAACTAATAACTTCCCACATAATAGCAAAGTCCTATTAGAAAACATAACAAAATTGATCCCATAAAGCAACAGCACAAATAATATAAAGTATCTAGATATAAATGTGCCTAAGATAAGAAATATGCAGGGTCTATATGAAGAAAACTACATCACCTTTGTTAAGGCCATAATATTAGTCTTATACAAATAGATAAATGTAGAGAGAAAACATTAGTGAATATTTATATAACCTTAGAGGTACAAAGGACTTGACACCCAGGGCGTAAGTCATGAAAGAAAAACATCCTATAGATTTAGTTGAATTATCAACACACTGAGAAAATATTACATACATGACAAGGGCTAAAATCCTTAATATGTAAAGAACTCCTACAAATCAATAAGAAAAAGCCAAGTATCTCAATTTAAAGTGGGAAAATCTATAAAAGAGAAAAAACCTGCAAAGATATGAAAAAAATATTCAAGTTCATCAATAATAAGAGAAATACAAATTAAAATGGGATTCCTTTTTTCCCCTATCAAATTAGCAAAGAAAATATAATCCTCATCATTGGTAAGTATGGGGTGAAAGAGGCACTTTTATATGTTGCTCATAGGGATAAAAACTACATGAAATATATGTAAGTTACTTTGCTAAGCATCAAGTTCCAGAAAAAGTACTGGAATTTCTTTAGCATAACAATAATAATGATATAGCACATGAAATCAAATGTCAAGTTTAAGGATATAATGAAAGAAGCTTAAATATTATAATACAAAATATCAACATTAATATTAACAAATATTACAACATAAAATATTAACTCTCAAAATAAATAAGAAAATGAGTGAAGTCTGTTCCTTTAAGAAAAGAACTGTGCAGCTGTCCCCACCTTCCTGAGAGGATGCTTTCTCAGCCTCTTTCAGCTTTCCTTTTTCTTTTTCCATTTTCTTAAGTTTTAATTGTAGTTCTTTCATTGCTTGTTTTATTATGTTAAGTTCAAGAGTAAGGGTTTGATTTGCATTGTTTAGATGCAAATTTTCTTCTTTTAATTCCTCAAGCTTTTCTTTGGTTATTTCTATACATCTTTGACGTTTTCTACCAGTTACATCTGAAAAGATATAGGGAGAAAGCTTTAAAGTATTAATTGACATTTACAATTTTACATCAAAACTATACGAGACTTTATTTGAAAAACCATGTGAGCAACTACTTCATGTCAGGCCTCATGCCACGTTCTTCGGTCCCTGGAAAGACAGTGGCCTGTACAGAACAGAGTGAGCTGTCCGATGAGAGTCCAGGGGGCGACAGGAGGAGAAGTGACAGCGGGGAGGCCCCTGCATATCATAACACGCAGAGTGAAGTTTTATCCTGCAGGCCACCAGGAGCCAGAAGGGCTTTTAGGCAGAGGTGTAAACATGAAGAGGCTCTAATCTCAGACAAATCCCTCAGGCCAGCAGTAAAGAAAGTGAACTGGAACGAGGCCCAGCCCAGAGGCACAGAGGCCATCTGAAGGCTCTGAGGGGCAGCCCTAGAGCGGGGACAGAGAGGAAGGGACATACGAGAGAAGGATTCAGGGACTAAAATCTGACAGGGCTCAACGGCTGACTGGGTGTGGGCAGTGAGGGAGGGTCAAGTCAAGGATGAGCCCCAAGATCTGCGGTTGGGAAGACACTCAGCCAGACACAGAGCACAAGTGTGTGGGGAGGTAAGCTCAGCTTAGGACACAGGCACAAAGCTCTGAGGGCACTCAGCTGGAGAGGCCGAGGAGCCAGCAGCAGGTGGGCAGTACCTGAGGGCCCCAGGGAGAGGAGAAAGCAGAGGCCACAAAGGATTCTAAGAGGGAACAAGAAGAAAGGTTGCAGAAAAACAAGGAGCAACGTTCCACAGGGAGATGTGCTCAGGGAGGTCAAAGGAGACAAGAACGACAATGGGCTCCCGGCTAGGGCACGCCTCCACGGCGGGGGGGGGGGGGGGGGGAGCCCAAGCAGAGCTTCTATAGGCAGACAAGGGCGGAGGGCTGGTGGCTCCAGAGAGCGGATCCGGCCACGCCCCAGGGGGCAGGCGAGGGCTAGGGAGGGGGCCAGGGGCTCCAGATAGCCTCCCCCGACCCCAGATACACGCATATCCTATCCTAGAACACGAAAGGAAAGGCTAAGAAATGAGGGACTCCACAACTGCACTGAGAACAAGAGGGAACCACGAGGAATCCCAGAAAGAAAACAGTTGAGACTAGACTGAAGATGGAACGTGGGGCCTAAAATATGCCAGGAGAGGTCAGCTAGAAAAGGTGGGAGTGCTTCCAGGGACATGCCTTGCTGCCCTGGCAGGTAGTGGGACATGAAGTGGCCTAGAAATGACTGATGACGTGTCCACTTAGGCACCAGATGGGAGTAGCAAGCGCTCAGCCTCCCAGGGCCAGGCAGGCGACAGCAGAGATGCATGCCCCTTGCCAGGCAGCACACAGGCCCTGAGGTCAGAGAGGCAGGGCAGGCCCAGGGGGCTGGAGAAACCTAGGAGGAAGAAGGGCCCCACAGCCCCTGGCTGGCCACATACCCTGCCTGTCCCCATCAATCACTGGAGACAGGCTGTATGCTGGCAGCCTGGCTGGTTTCCCCCTTTGAGCAGCCTGCAGTAAGCAGATACAGCATCCCCAGGCAGACCACCAGGGCTTCTCAAGGACCAAGGTGGGCACACCACCAAGAACCATCAAGTATCTGAGTTCAGAGAAGCACCAAAGTCAAAGAACAGGAGAGAGTGGCTCCTGCACAAACTACCAGATTTTGGAATGAGTATAGTTAAGATTCTCAGAGAAACACTTGTCAATACTTCATGGAAATCGTGGAAATGAGCATTACGATTAATAACATAAGTTCAAAGGATGGGCTGAGTAGCAGAACACATACAAGGATGAATGGGCCTGTGGGCGGAAGCTGGAGGCCCAGCCATCTCCCACAGTATAGCACCAGAACGCCAAGACAGAACGGGTGAACGTGAAATCAGTCCCACATGGGGGACAGGCTTAACCCACCATGGAAGCTATGAAGCTCCTCAAACTGTGGAGGAGAGAGTACCCCAGAAAGCATCTCTGAACCTCAAGCTGGGCTCCCAGCGCCTGAGCAGAGCCCTCATCTGCACATGCCCATTCCACAGGCCCACCTTCTCCACGCTCACCCGCCAGGGATCTGAGCACACCCGCGGGACACACAGCCACCACCCAGTCTTTGAGTGTTTGGACCCTCTCTTGAGGCAAAAGTGGAGGTTCAACAATTGCTGCCTCTTCCCAAGTCCAGGAATGGGACAGAGGCAAGGCCTTGATAGGAAACAAAGTGACCTTTATTTTAGATGCAATGATTCTGATTTATTTTATAGAACTATAAGCTTCTCAATCATAATGCAATTCAAAAGGAAAATACCTGGGGAGGGGGGAGGTTTTTCACATAATGGTGGTTTTCCATCCTAGGGAAGAAAAAACACGAGAGGAATGAGTTAGGAGTTGTAGCATCTTCTCAAGTGGACTGACACAAGCAGCGAGTCCTGTCTGAGCTGTCTTCCCGCCTTTTTCCCTCTGAGTTCAGTCACTGTCTTTACATGCAGGTCCCAGGAGTGACAGGCCACCAGGTCACATTCAACAGCCTGTGACATGGCTCCAGGTGCTGAGCAGAGATGCACAAAGCAAGCTCTGACCAGGTCTTTTCTCCTTAGGATATGCAAAAGACCCCACAGACTGCAGAGAAGAATGAAAAGAATAAGAAAAGAATGCAAGATCTAGCTTTTCAACCCAAAACTTAGAGGAAAGGGAAGGCTTTGAACTTTTGTTAATTTTTCCATTACAGATCAGTCTGATATTAAGTTTCTAATTTCTGCTGTAAAAGTAGATAAGGTTATACATTAACTCTACTGAGAAATGTTTAATTTTTAAATTCCCATGACATTGCACAATTAAACACTTAAGTCAGAACTGTTTCTATGTTTGCAATGCTTCTTCATGTTTTTAAAGTATTCAAAAAGAAACATTCGATGGGAAAGAACTCTTAAGGGAAGTTTTCCCCCCCACGATGCACAAAAGTTGCTTAAAAATTATGGTGGAAATAATAATAAATATATTGAGAAAAGCAGTTTTTAAAAAACTAGCCTTACCTTTAAATTCAGAACAGAATGTTTACCGTCTGATTAAAAAAAAAAAAGAGAGAAAACTTTTTAAAACTTTTGACAGCTCAGAAGAGTACAATCATAGGAACTCACGTTCTACAGATGAGCTAAACAAAGCCCGGGGCAGGCGGGACAGCCTTCGCAAGGTCACGTGGCCAGCTGGTCCCGGAGCCAGGCAGCGAGCCTGACTCAGCTCCTCACCTCTCTCCATGCCGCTCACTCCCGAGCACCTTCAGTGGCTCACGGGATTGCAGAACCAAGGCCAAACTCCACAGTGACTCTGAGCCCCGCCTTTCCAACACTGCCCATCCCGCGCTCTCTCCACATGCGTCCCACCCACCATCCCCAAAGCCACTAGGGCTTGCCTCCTCTCTGCCCACCCTGCCTGGAAGTAGCATCGACTTGGTCAGAAAAGTAGCTGTCCCTGAAGCGAAACGCCTCGACGAGACAGAGGAGGACACAGCTCGCCCAGGTCTTCATTTCCAATTGACCAACACACATTTGTAATTAAGGAACTCCATAAGGAGGGTGATCTTGGGCCCCAGTTTGCCTGTAGCCTGTGTGGCGGTGAAAAGTTGAATATCCGGGTTGCTTTTAACTTTCCACAATTAATTTGCAGAGCAGAAATAACTGGCTGAAAATAAATTAGAAACAAATGTGCAAAAAATAGAAAAAAAACCTATACAGTTCAGAAAAACAGGAAAAAAAATGCTTAAAGATACATACAAGATTGTAAATCTACTTCCTGGTTCACTACAATTACCAATATTTGAACAACTCATCACTGAAGAGCTTATTCTTGACCAAAATGTCATCTTTTTTATTTATTTAGTGAAGATCAGCCCCAAGCTAACAATGCCAATCCTCCTCTTTTTGCTGAGGAAGATTGGCCCTGGGTTAACATCTGTGCCCATCTTCCTCTATGTTTTATGGGACGCCGCCACAGTACGGCCTGACAAGCGGTGCATTGGTGCATGCCTGGGATCCGAACCCAGGCTGCTAGCAGCGGAGCACGCGCACTTCACCACTACGCCACCGGGCCGGCCCCCAAAAAGTCATCTTGATCCACTATTTTTAACCAACTGCTTTCGATCAAGTGTTCTGGGGCAGCCTGGATGGGCATCTGATGAAATCCTAGCCAGTCCTTCTGAGGGCAGCCTAATGAAACCTCTCTCTGCCGCCTTCTTCAAGGGGCAGACAACATTAACTGCTCTCCGGGTCTTTGAACGCGCCTCCAGGGCCCGCCTCAGCACCCAGACTGCACTGCACCACCTGCACGTCCTCCCCCGCCTCTGGAATATGAATGGAGGGGCCTATGGCTCCATCATTTCTGGCACACAGTAGGTACTGAATAAATTTCTGATGAGCAAATGTTTAAACTGATACAAAAAGAAAGAATTTACATTCTCAATAACTCTTATACAACAGTCTTGATTTGGTATCCTTCAATGCTACATCAGATCCACTGCCTTCCATATTTAGTGGAATCTTCTGTCTGCCTTAAATTCTTCTCAAAACAAGGTTGGGGCGGGGCAGGGGACTAAATGAAGAACAATGGAGAAATGCTGACAGAAGGTGCATGATGGGTACACGGGAGTTCATTTTACTATTCTCCCTACTTTTGCACATATTTGAAAATTACCATAATAAAAAATTTTTAAAGGGAAATTTACCTATTTTGCCAAAGAAAATAAATAATGATCTCTATTTTTTTTTGGTGAGGAAGACTGTCCCTGAGCATCTGTGCCCATCTTCCTCTACTTTACATGGGACACCACCACACTGTGGCTTGATAAGCTGTGTGCAGGTCCACATCCAGGATCCGAACCTGCAAACCCCGGGCCACGGAAGCAGAGCGTACAAACTTAACCGCTATGCCACTGGCCGGACCCCATGATCTCTATTTTATCTTAGTCATCAACTTTTCAGAAAAAGAACCTGATGGCGACTAAACTCAGAATTTACATCACCCCAAGTTCACTTTGGTACTTAATATATATGCAGTTCACTTGGCTCTGTGTATATATTTTATTTCCTGTTTTCTCATTTATCATTTCTCAAAGAGATTTCCAGAGTCCTCACCCTTCTCATTTCTACAGTCTGTAGGGGCAGGTGGTACAAATGATTAAAATCACCGCAAAGGTCTCCTATATCAGACACACTGCATTTGAAATGCCATGCTAGATACTATCCCAATCTTTATAGAAAGAAAATTCACACGACATGAACACATTCTTCTGTCAAAAATTCTAATAATACAGATAAATCAAAATGGCCTCATGACCACAAACCTTCCAAGAGGTAACCATGGTTATCAGTTGGGTATGCTTTCTTTCAGAGATTTCTGAACAAATAAAGAGTCAAACATACACACAACCCCACGTCCCACCCCCTTTCACACGTCCATATATAACAGATATTAGATGGTGGGGAGGGAGAAAAGCATGTACAAAGGCCCAGGGGCAGGACAGAACATCATGCAGTCAAGGAAATAAAAGAACACCTGAGCGGCTGGAGAATGGTCAGCAGGGGCAGGCCCGGCAGGTGTTGCCGGGGAGCCACTGAAGAGATGCAGGTAAAAGGGTGTAAGGGTGCACGGGGGCAGGCGGGGACACTACCAGATGAGTGTTTTGGAAAGATTGCTCTGGCTGTTACCACGGTGCCAAAACCTCGTGGGCACTCCATATGTATACATATATCTGCGGGCTGAGTGAACGAATGGATGGAATGAAATAGCAGGCAGCTGGCTAAACGGGGCTATATGAGCCAGGAGAAGAAACCTGGGTGTAACACACAATAAGTGGTACTGGAAGCAGGAGGGCAGGCGTGAGTGCTTACAAGAGTAGAGAGAAGGGCCTAGACTGGGCCTTGGGGAAGCCCAGCATTTAATGGCCAGGCAGAAGAAGGTGAGCTGGCATAGGAGATGGAGAGGGGCCCCAGAGCGGGGGGAAACGGCAAGAGCGAGGTGTCCTGAAGCCCAGGGAGAGAGTACTGTGAGACAGCAGGAGCAATCACCTGTGGGGGGCGCTCCGGACAAGCCAGATACACCACCCCCTGTATGCAGGTCACTGGTCTCCGGGAGCAATGGAGGCAGAGCCAGACCAGGGTGGGTGGAGGAGACATTGTCAGATGAGAGGAGGGAGATGGGGTGCAGAGATCTGAGTTTTGACAAATTTGGCTGTGGAAAAGAAAGAGAAAGTGTTGGGGGAGGGCACTATCAGGAGCAAAGAAGGGAGGGGGCCGACGTCCATGAGTGAGAATTCGGCAGTCCTGACCAAGGGATTGGAACCTCGTCTAAGGACTTCAGCATCTGGTTTTCTTGGTGGGGTGTTGCTAGAGCGTGGAGTGGGGCATCAGGCTCGCAGAGCTAATGGCTTCAGCCTTTAGAGGAGAATGATCAGCCAGCAGTTATGGAAGGCGCTGCGCTCCACACGTGTGACGGAATTTAATCCTTATGATAATGTGATGAGAGGCGCCCTCAGAATGACAGAAGTGGGTTAAGTAGCTTAGCCAGGCCTCTCATCACCCGGAAATGAGTCGAGAACCAAACCACTGAAAGCCAGGGTTTCTGACGTGTTGTCCAAGGATCGCCCCCATCACACTCTCCAAGGTGCTTGTTAAAAACACAGACCTCTAGGGGGCCCGGCCCCATGGCCGAGTGGTTCAAGTTCCACACACTCTGCTTCAGCAGCCTGGGTTTGTGGGTTCAGATCCCAGGCGTGGACCTACTCCACTCATCAGCCATGCTGTGGCAGTGTTCCACATACAAAATAGAGGAAGACTGGCACGAATGTTAGCTCAGGGCTAATCCTCTTCACCAAAAGAAAAAAAAAGCCCCCCCAAAAAAACACAGACATCTGGGCCCCAGCCTTGAGCCACTGAATTAGGATGCGGGGTGGGTGTAGGGCCCTTGTCATAAGTGCCCAGAGGTTTTTAAAGCCCACCACAACCCAAAAACCACTGCAGGAGCTGCGCTCCGTCCCACCACCTGTGCTCCAAGTTCACGTCACCAAGTGTGCCAGTTATCACTGCCTCTCGGCCCCAGACCCACCTTCACTGCCTGCTTGTGTCACAGTACTTCTACCTTGCCAGGTGGCACAATGATAAGCCTCGTCAGTAGAGGGCGCTGGAGAGATGCTGGAGGAGGAAGGGGCTAGGCTTCCTCATTCCAGTGCTGTCTTCCTCCCTCCTTCCCCTTTTCTAGGCAGCCAGCAGCACTTCCCCATGGGTGCCTTCTCCTGGCCTTCCCTGGAGAGGGCAGCTTCCCAGCAAGTTCTGTGAGCACAACACCTCAGATGACTTCACCAGCCAGGGGGCCCCGGCTGCACCCTCTCCAACGTCTGCCTCTCGGCCTTGGTGATCCTCCAAACGTGCTTCTTCCCCTGGGTGCTCTATGTCAACTGTAGAGGGAGCGGCCGTTCCCTCTATGTTCTTTAGACTTCTCTCCACGCCTTAGTGGGCAATGCTGTTACAGTTACTAATTCTTTATATTAAACTGCCCCTGTTCAAATCACCATGTGCTCTGTCTCCTGATTGGATTCTGACTGATATATGATGCATCAGGGAGCAGGCAACACAACATCAGAAAACGGATGAACATGTATGACCACAGGGAGATATTCAGGATGTGTCGTAAGATAAAAAAAAAAAGGCAGGTAACAAATTAATGTATACACAATCTGAATTGTTAAAATTACTTAACTAGGGGACTATAATTATGTGTATTTAACTTTATATATTTCTGCATTTCAGCTTTTTTTTTCTTTACAGTGAAAAAATATTACTTCTATAATTAAAGAAGAGATACACTTTTTACATGAATTTAATATTCACATAGATTTCCCTACAGGGATAACATATGCCACCTAACCAACTGGTGTTTTCTGGCCCAGGTATTACTAGGCTGTCATTCTGTTTTCCAATCAGTCACCTTGTCAAGTGGTTTATACAGAGTCTCCCCGAGGCCAAACAACTCTGAGGGTCCTGATGAAGCAGTTACTGGTGCCCACTGTATGCCAGGCTCTCTTTCTCTCTTCTCAACATCAGCTGCCTCTTAGGAGACTGAAAAGTGTTCCCTACCTTTGCTATAATGCGCTGAATTCTCACTGCGCCAAACCAAGTATGCGAAGATGGCTGGTCATACAGTTATAGAGCTGTATTATAACACGTCCATGCACTCATTCACCCGACAAACCTTCAGTGACAGTGCACTGTGGCCCGGCCCTGCCCCAGGTGCTGGAGATGGCATGGTGAACAAGACAGATGCCTCCCGCCTTCACTCCGTGGAGCCCACTGTGCGCCAGCCCCGTGCAGCACCAGACTCTGGGAACCGAGGGGGAGAGTGTGTGCAGCTGCAGAGCCCGGGCCATCACCCTCCTCCCCAGGTGTCCTCTCACAGCTGACGGCTGACAAAATGCTCACAGTGAGCACCTCGTACTTTAAAGACAACCTACCATCCAGGCAATTGACGGTGGAATAAATTATCACTAGTGAAAACAAAACTCAGGAATATTCCTACTTATAATCACGAAACCACAGGATGGAGATCCGATGGCTATATGTTCCCCCAAATTAGCCATTATTTATTGCCATAAAATGCTTTTATGTTAAAAAAATTTTTTTTTACCTTTTTCTTGTGTACGCTGTGGTCTAAGAGGTGAGCCTGGAAACCCATCTTGCTCAGAAATATTTCCCTCATCTTCACTGTCCACCTCATGTGACAATGGAACCTTTTCACAAAAGACAAAGGAACAAACGTGATAAATGCTATCTGTGTCAAATTTCCTCACAACAGACTCAAATGTCTCATTCCATACCTTCTCCACTGCTGTCTCCCTCTCTGAGACACAAGAGACGACACCTGACAGGGCTGGATGAAACCTCAGGTCCCTCAGGTCCCCCTGCCCAGTGGTAAAGGCAACGCCATGCAAATTACGCCTAGGCCATCAAGAACTTCACATCCCACCCATGCTGCTGGGCAGCTTTCCTTCCTCACTCCTGCCAGGGACCGACACAGGAAAAGGGGCTGCCTCTGGCCTGCTCTGCACAGCTCCCAATACCCCTACCCTGGTACTGCTGCTGTGTTCTTCATCCCCACTTGGGACAAGAGCGGCTGAGCTGCCCTGTGAGCACTCTCATCCAGGCAACAATTTGGGACTGAGGTCCGTTACGTTTGCTGGCTATGTGAGTCCACTGAAGATGTCGTTTCCTGATGGAATGGAGCCCTCCCTTCACTGTTAGTGAGCATCTCCTATGTATGTATCATGAATGGTGGCCGGGCTGCAGAGCTGTCCCTTACAGACATGTGGGCCAGGAATGGGACTACCCCAATGAGCAGGAGACAGTCCCACTGGCGGGGCTCTGGGAGGCGGGGTCGCGGGGTCAGAGGCTGTTAAGGGAAAGAGCAGGGAACCACGTCTTGTATGATAAGCTGCGACTGGCACTCTCTGGGTTGGCTTTCCTTCTGCTATCCTGATTCTTCAGTAAAATCTTGCTTACGTGATCAGCTTGGCTTAGCTGTGCTGTGGGCAACGGACGGGCCATCCCCAAGGCTGGCAGGGAGGTGGCGACACTGACCAGCAAGATGCCCAGGAGAGGGGGCATTTCAGAGCCAAGAGCTAAGGCCATGAGGCCCACCAGGCTCTGGGTACAGGGCTCCAAGGTGGCCCAGCTTGGGAGTGGCAGACAGGTCTCCCACTCTACTCATCATTTGAAGAAAGAAAAAAGTAATGACCTCTTTATTTTTACCTCCTAGGAACCAACTGCCTTGTTCTCCTTATCAAAGATATATTAAGCTACTCACTATTATCAGGGAAATGTGAAAATGCTAAGAGGACTCACATACCATCATAAAGATACCCCATTACGAAAAATTGCTTGGCAGTATCTACCAGTACTAAGGCTGATCATACATATGCCCTATGATTATATATACAACCACTCCTCAGAATATGCCCACCAGAAATATATACATATATACACAAATGCTCATAGCAGCACCATTCCTAACAGCCCCAAATTGGAAACAACCAAATATCCACCATCAGTAAAATGAATAAATAATTGGATGATACAGTTGTACAATGGGATATTATACAGCAATAAGAACAAACCAACTGCTGTTACACACACAGAAGACTCTCGAAAACTCCAGAGAATATATACTCTATGATTAAATTCACAGAATCTTCAGAATAGAAAATAACCTTAGATTAGTTTTGCCTAAGATCTAATCTTGGATATAATCTGGAGTCAGGGCAGTGGTTAACTTTGGGGAAAGCAGTGACCTCATCTCTGTCACAGAAGGGGACTTCTGGGTACTAGTAACAATGTTGTTTTTTCTTTTTTAATCTAGGTGGTGGTTACTTTGTAAAAATCCACTGAGCTGTACACTCATGGTTTATGTACCTTTTGGATATATTTAATACATTGATGAATAAGCCTAAAGAATTTGTAACAATATTCTAAAAACACTCTAATTTAAAACATTTTTTTAAACTACCCAATACTTCTGATTGTGAAAATTACCTCAGTAACTAAAATAAAACTTGTCTGGGTCTTGAAGGAGGGCAGGCAGAAGCACTGACATGGGGGGTGCCAGGAACAGCCTTGCCCTCGTCTGTCAGCAGCACCTGTCCTGGGCCCCTTCACCTCTTCCTGGTGGTACACTAACTCCGATTTTAAAGAGTAAAACGTACAGGCTAGAATGTCTAGGGTAATTATTAGGAAACAAAACCAGTGCAAGTTGCAAACTAGTAAAGGGAAAGAAATAGAACTGAAAAAATCATCAATCCAAAAGAAAGGGAGAGAAAAAAAAGAAAGAGAATAATAGGACAAATAGGAAAAATAAAGTAAGATGGCAAATTTAAACTCAGATCTACTCTTATATACATTAAATATAAAAGGACTAATGGTCCAGGAAAAAGATAAAGTTGAAGTTTGTCAAACTCAGTTAAGAAAAACTGCAGGCTGCGTTGAATTGTATACTTTAAGTGGATGAATAGTGTGGTATTACCAGTAAACTTGTTTTAAAAATCTATATTTATAAGACACATCTGAACAAAGGATATGGAAACGTTGAAATTAAAGGATGGAAAAAATTAGACCATGCAAATACCAAACGAAAGAAAGATGGAGAATGTTCGACAAAATAGACATTAAGGTAAAACCCATTCTTAGAGACAAAGAGGTTTACATTATAGTGACCAAACATTCAATTTGCAGAAAGATCTACAGGCACACCACGTTTCATCGTGCTTCACTTTATTGTGCATTGAAGGTATTGCATTTTTTACAAGACCCTCCACCAGCAAAAAGATTACAACCTGCGGAAGGCTCAGGTGATGGTTAGCAGTTTTTAGCAATGATGTATTTTTTGATTAAGGTATGTACATTGTTCTTTTAGACATAATGCTATTGCACACTTAACAGACCACAGTACAGTGTAAACATAAATTTTATATGCACTGAGAAGCCAAGAAATTCCTGTGACTCACTTTACTGCGATATTTGCTTTATTGCAGTGGTGTGGAACCGAACCCGCAATATCTCTGAGGCAGGCCAGTAATTTAAAATTTGTACACACGTAACAATGTAGTGAGATGCAAAAGAATGACGTGTTCTACTATTTCATGCATACAAAATTCAAAAACACAAAATGCATCTGTGATGTCAGAAGTCTTCTATTAGTTGGAGATGAAAGCAAGATATTGGAAAACCTGACAGAACAGCAAGGAAGCTGCAGCATCCAGATTCTTGTGACTGTGGCCGTGAGATGCACGTAAGATGCAGCAGTCATTAACCCTAATGATGCACAGGGTCCAGCCCAGAACCGCATGAGTACCTTCCAGATGCCTCTCCTCATATCAATGATGCTAAAATAAGAACCCCACCCCAAATGTATTATACAGTCACCAGAGGTGGAACAACAGAAGGGCCCAGGTGGCTCCCTCTCAGGGTAAAGTCCAGACAAGAGTGTGGTAAGAATGTGCAGTGAACCAGACTAACTCTGGAAGGGGCAGTTTTGATTTGTAAGGTAGGGGGCCGCTCGGGACTGAAGTGGGACCTCTGTGGGTCAACAACATGCCGGACCACCCCTGACCCCGTACATTGGGGTAAACAGATGACGCGTTTGTGAATCCACACCTCCTCCCCTGCTGCATGGAGGAGCCCAACGCTGGGAGACGGCAGAGCTCACTCGCTCTCGGTGGCTTCTGCAAACTGGCTGGAGGGACGGCTTGGTGCCTTACCTGCTATCCTGGCCTTCTACTGCTACCAGCGGGGGTCAAGGTCACACAGAGGTGCTCTCGTGGTAGAGCCGAGTCAATAATCCACACGCACATAAACTAACAGTCGATATTTCTATCTGCACATGACGTTTCTATGGAAATGCAGACAGAGAGATTGCAGGAGGCAGGCCACGGCTGGCGCGGCTGCATTGCCCACTCGCAGTTGGTGCCCCCTTTCCACCTTGCTAAGAGAACCCTGATTTTCTCTGGGGCAGATGGGCTCAGCCTTTGGGTATGAATCACGGTAATCCTCTTGAATCACGGCAATGATTCCCTGAATCCTACGAATCATGGCAACCCTCAGCCAGCATTGGCCCAAGGATGGGCAGGTGACCAACGAGCCTCCTGCTGGGAGGCCTCCAGGACAAAACCTTCTCCCTAATAAACACAGCACAGCCTGATGAGAAAGACCTGGCCCCACTTCTTCCTTTCTGCTTTGAGACCGGGACCTGCCGCACCCACTTGTGACCATGAAAAGGAGGCCGAGGGAATCTGAGGCACCAGCCTCTGACGAGCAGCTGAAATAACTGTAGAATCTCCTACCTCTTGACTATGGTATGTGAGAAAGTTAAATGTCTATTATTTAAGCCTTATGTTTGTCTATTGCATCATTTGCAGCCAAAAAACTGATACAGAAATTAAACTGACAACAGAGGCTTCTCCTGGAGAGAGCGCAGGACTAGAACAGGATCAGCAGGGTTTTAGGGAGGGCTTCTGCTCTTTGGGCAATATCAAAAGTTTTTATAAGTGTGTACTCATGTGTTACCTGTGTAACAAAAAGAAAATTTTAAAGAAATTAAAAATTAAAAACTGTGGTGAGAGAAAGGGGACATTCCTAATCCTCAACAGCAGCAGCAAAAGAATTTCCACTATTCCTTGGCCTCCAGAAGTTTCTAGAGAGAAACGGTTTACCCTTCCATGAATGCCTCCTGTCTGGGTCTCCATCCAAGCATATGGCAGACACTCAAATATCGGTTTGCCAGCAGTTGGTTGGATGAATAAATGAACAAATGAATGAATAAATGATATTTTACGACAAGATGCTCTGCAAATCCACAAACACAACAATAGCAAGAACGCATGACAGAAGAGCTTCAGTAACATCCTACTGGTGATTTCTATTTGAAAATGGTGACAAGGCACTTAGACTACACTCTCCTCCCTTAAAACCCACTGAAATCAATCAAAAGAATGGGAAGAAAAAAAAAAAGAAAAAGAAAGCTTAGTCAATGGCTACAATTCCCAAACACAAACTGGAGAAAATAGTTACCAAATCTACAGAATTTGGAGCAGAGGGAGAATGCTAACTGCTGCCAAACCTCCTCAGACCTCAGGCAGGCAGATGCTCTCCAAATCCCAAAGTATCACAGTTACAAAGTCCACAGGGACCCCGACAGGTGCACTGAGAGGATGGGCCCAGGAGAAGTAGTCATTCCCACGGAGGAGACACTTAGGCAGAGCCCGCCTTTATTGCCCAGAATCCAGCCTCTATACTCTCAAAAAACCACAGACAGCACAGACTGACGTAAAGAACCCAGAGAAGAGAGACAGGAGATCAAGGAAAGCAATAAGGCAACAGAAGGATGTGCAAAGTAAATTGGCAGAACACAAAAAACAAAAGGAAAAACAAAACCAATACAGAGGTGAATGCCATACTAGAAGCGAGAGAACACAGTGACAGAGATGCGGGGGGCACACGGAGAAAATTACATGAAACGACACTGGGAAGAAACAGGGACAAATAACTGTAGAAAATATAACAGACACAGAGACAAAGAAAGCAGATCCAACAAACACATCACTAGTGTTCTCAAAGGAGAACAGAACGAATGGATGATAAAATTAGTCAAAGATCAAATAAAATAGAGGAGGAAATAGTCCCTGAAGATAAAAAAGGGAGATGAAAATCTGTATCTGCAGAATTATATTATAAACTAAATTTCAGGACAAAAATAATAAGCATCATGATTAATTCTGGTGACATTACTAAAGTTCAAAGGATAAAGAATGAACCTACAAAGGTGTCAGGCAGAGAGATGAAGTGACCTCATAGGGGAGAAGAAAGCAGGCTATGACTCCTCCTCACCCCTTTGCTGTCACTGCCAGCAGGCCTCTCAGAACAGGGTAGGTCCCCGCCATATGGCCTCATGCCATCCTGTACCCTCCCCGTAACATTTATCATAATTGTAACTGATCAACTATTAATCGTGTGACTCTGGACTCTGTCTTTTTTTGTGTGTGTGTGAGGAAGATCGGCCCTGAGCTAACATCTGCCAATCCTCCTCTTTTTGCTGAGGAAGACTGGCCCTGGGCTAACATCCGTGCCCATCTTCCTCCACTTTATATGGGACGCCGCCACAGCATGGCCTGACAAGCAGTGCGTCGGTGCGTGCCCGGGCCGAACTGGCGAACCCCGGGACGCCGCAGCAGAGGGCGCGCACTTAACCGCTTGCTCCACCGGACTGGCCCCCAGACTCTGTCTTAATCACACCAATTCCTCAGCACCTAGCACAATGCCTGGTACTCCTTAGGTGCTCAGTAAATTGATGCTGAATTATTTACCTACCCAAAGACAGTCTCCTCCTTAGCTCCAAGCTTTACAGGATGAAGAACCTGAGGCGCAGAGAGGTTATCTGACCCCCCCAGGTCCTATATCTGGGAGGCAGAGAAGCTGGGACTTGAACTCAGGTCTCTGAGTGCCCACGGCACTGCTGTCCACTGGGCTCCAGCATCGCCTGAACTGACCCCAAATTCACGCACCCCACTTCCCCTCCAGCCTTACTCTCGGGAGCACCAACAAGAAAACCGCTCAAGGGCGGGCCCCGTGGCTTAGCGGTTAAGTGCGCACGCTCCGCTGCTGGCGGCCCAGGTTCGGATCCCGGGCGCGCACTGACACACCGCTTCTCCGGCCATGCTGAGGCCACGTCCCACATACAGCAACTAGAAGGATGTGCAGCTATGACATACAACTATCTACTGGGGCTTTGGGGGGAAAAATAAATAAATAAATAAAATCTTTAAAAAAAAAAAAAGAAAACTGCTCAAAATCAGACTTGCTTCCTATTTGTTAGGCCATTTCTGAGCGGGGGCGCACCTCACAGGAAGATGTTTGCCCAAACTGCCCTGAAGCACAGAGAGAGGCATGAGGTACAGACTTATACCCAAATTGCCTGATGAGGGTTGGTCTATTTCCTTATCTTACTAGTTTTGACAACTGTTTACTGTAAGGGAGGTATGAATGATTCATAAAACAGGATAAAATTACAATTTACCACAGATTACAGAGTGTTGATAGTAAATATAGGGAAGGCAATTATGTGAGTTTTTTTTTTTACATTAAAATGTACCCCACAGGCGGTATCTCCTTCCGAGCTGGTGCCATCTAGTGATTAAACAGCAGGTTTACATGCTCCACACCCATTTTTTCAAAGACATATTTTAACATATAATAAATTTAAGAATACTTTGCTAGGGCCAGCCCCAGTGGCCTAGGGCTTAAGTTTGGAGTGCTCTGCTTTGGCAGCCTGGGTTTGGTTCCCAGGCATGGACCTATACCACTCATCTATCAGTGGCCATGCTGTGATGGCGGCTCACATACAAAAAGAGGAAGATTGGCAACAGATGTTAGCTCAGGGTGAATCTTCCTCAGCAAAAAAAAAATACTTGGCTAGTTTCAAAAAAAAGCTTTATGTCTAAGAAATATTCTTGATGGGCTCAAGGACCGTAAATACAAATTTTAATTATAAACAAGGAAAATTGGTCACCCTGGTCTCAATCCTGCCTCTGCCACTGGGTGGTTGGTCGGGTGACCTTGGGCAAGTCATTTATCCTGTTTCTTCATCTACTTACCCCCAAGGGTGTGAAGTAAACGAGATGCTACATTATAAGCTGCCTAGCATACAGTAAATGCTCAGAAAGGTCAATGTGTCTTCCTCCCCTATTGTCTAACCCCTCCCCCTAAGAAAACCAACCGTGACACTGTGGGCAATTGAAATCCCTTTCCAGCTTTAGGGCCCTTTCATTCATGCCATCTGCAACAGGCAAGGACAAGGTACAGGTTACGATGAGACCTCTCCATCAGTTACTAAAACTCCACCTCCGGTTCCCAGGGTTGTCTGGGGAGGGGCTTTCCTGTCGGCTGGGACGTAGAGAAATGTGGAGCCTCGTGCCTACACTGCCGGCGGGAAGGTAAAGGGAACAACTGCTTTGGAGAACAACTGACACCACCTCGTGTGATCCTGAACACACAGGGACATGTACCAAATGTGCAAGGAAACAACCTGAATGTTCAGCAGTAGGTGAGCAGATAAAGAAGTTAACGTGGATCCATCTCAAAACTGTAATGGCGAGTGAAAAAGCCAAGAGCGGGGATGATTGGTTCAGGATGGTGACCTTTGTACAATTAAAAAAAAAAACAGTACTATATTTGCTTACTGACACTTATTTGTAGTAAAAGAATAAAACACAGACTTCTAGAGTGCATTCCAAATCCAAGAGAAGATGGCTTTCCAGGGATGGAGTGGGGATGGGAGATAAAGATGTCAACCTTAACTGTAGTTTCTTTCTTTTATTAAAAAAATCTGAAGCAAAAAAAGATAAGATGTCAATACTTGCTCATTCTGGAGAATGAGAACACTAATGTATCATGTTATTTTCCACTTTTCTTCCAGGTTACAGAAAATGCACACATTCAGCTTTAACAGATAGTGCCAGTTTTCTAAAGTGGTGGTACCAACTTACACTCCCATCAGCATTAGAGAATTCCTCCAGAGCCTCACCAACCCTTGATATTGTTAGTGGTCTTGCTCCACTTTTCAAATTTTAAAATAAAAAAATTTCTCTACTGCACCTGGATCCTAGAGCCACCATGACAGACTTGCCTAAGAAATAAAATATTTGTCCTGCTAATGACAAATGAGGTTTTAAAGGCCACTAAAATCTCTCTTTCTTCTAAGGGAAATGTGGTAGCAAGCTTCACTTCCAAAATACAGATGGAGTGACACCACTCTATCTGTAACACTACCTGTAACCAAAATCCTAGCCAGAAAGGGTGCAGACTGAAAGGCAGTGGGACTTCACCCGGGCCTTTTAGAGCCGAGAGCAGAGCCTCCTTGGGGCTCTTGGCCACCATCTGCCTGTTCCAGTGCTCCGTGCTGTAGAGAAATCTAATACTGCATGTTAAAGTCTGTATATGTTAGAAAGTGAGGGTTAGTTCATGAAATACTCACATGAAAATTCCTGAAAATAAGCTCCCTGAGACCACTTAAAATGTCATTCAATATAGTAGAGGATAATCAATATAAATACAATCAACATGAATATAGTTAGATGCTACAAGTCTGTGTATAGTCACTGTGAATAACACGTTATAGTGCTGGTGAAAAAAAGAGAAAGGAAAAAGAAACTATGGTGCTGTCTTTTGCCATTAAAGGCATGGCCCTATCTAATTTCCAAAACCCTGGGGGCACAGAGCTTAAACCAGAGCAGCTGGGCAGTGGTGGAGAAACGGGCTCCTTCACGCTCTCTGTACCTCAGTTCCCCCACATGTGAGAGGGCCTTAAGTGGAACCCACCTCACTGAGAGAGTGGGAGATAAACGCACATAAGAGCCTCAAATAGAGACTCACACATGGTAAGTGCCGAAAGGATGTCAGCTGCTATGGAGAGACAAACGACGATATGCCTCGTCAGGCATGAGTTTGAAGAAAGGCTGCAACATGCACGTTCATACTGGAAAAGTGATAGGAAAATTAGCTTTTGGGGTCCAAGAAAAGAGCAGGACTACTAGCATTGGATGGAAATCTACATTAAGAACGCGAAGCTGTTTATCTTTGTCTCTGAAGGACTTGTCTTTGAAAGATAAAGGAAAGAGTTTTAGATTTTAGCCTAACCAGATAGAAAAACGAGACTGGACACATTAAGAAAATAAGCCCCCAAACAAAAGCCATTAAAGGAAGAAGAGAGAAAAGAAAACCCTTACTAATGCACTCTACACAATTTACTATAAGTTAACGTCAAGGTGCAGAAAAAATTCTGGTATGTGACAAACACCTGATTTCTGTGAGGCACAGCGTACACAGCATCACCGAGACCTCCCTCTGCTTTGCAGACGCTGCCGTCCCCCGACTCCTTGTAGCTGGACGACAGATGCGTGTCCGTGTCCTCTTCCTCCCCATAGCCCAGCATTTCAAAGGATGGCAAAGAAGTTCTTCTTCCTGTCTCACTCTGCCAGTTTGGTCTGTATTAGAATTTCAAAGAGCAAAATAAACAAACAAACAAGCCACTTCACACTTCACAGTGGTATGTATATGACCATGTATTAAATGCACTGCCTCCAAGCCCCCACCATAAAAATATTATAACTGCATTACAAAATATATAGAAGCTAAAGAATCAAATCATCAACTCTCCCATTTCTTTGTACACTCTTAAGCATTTTTTTCTAGTTTTTTTCACCTAGGTTTTTATAGTTATCATCACTGTGTACACATACAATTTGCCTTGGTATTAAGGCAACATTTTAGAAGGTAAGAATCAAGAAGATATACTAGTTTAGTCAGCCATTCCTCTTACTTGGGTTTTCTTCCCCCCAGTTATAAATAACTATACATATCCCTTCACTGATATAAATAACTCTGTAATGAACATCTATGTGCAGATCATCTCTTCTGTTTTGGGGACTAGTCCTATAAAAGAAACAACGAGATGGTAAACTGCAGAGTCAAACGGTATGAACACATGGTGGGTCTACACACATACAGCACTAAATCGTTTCACAAATCATTTCCCCAGCCTGGATTACATTGGTAATAATTTTCTAAAACTTGCCAAAAGAATTTAAATCTCACTTATAAATTTGCATTTCTTACTGAGACTGAATATTTTTCCATATATTTGTGTAGGAGTCAAAATTCCTCTATGGTAACTTGTCCTTCATCCATTTAGCTACTTTGCTTCTAGTATGTCCATTCCAATTTGAAATTAACTCTTTTATCTACTAAAATTAAAACCCCGACCTTGTATTTACTACATGTATTTTTCCTATTCTATTAATTTTATTTTGGCTATGTACATTTTTTTAACATACAGATGATTAAAAAAAATTTTTTTTTACCTTCTAAATTCTTAGGTTAGAAGTAAATCGCCATCAGCTCCCCCTGAGAGGTTTAACAAGACTGGACGTAGGATCTAATGGTCTTATTTATGTGTATATACAGACTAATCCTTTCATTCGATAGGAATTTATTTTAGTATATGAATTAGGGAAGGCTCAAAGCTGATTTTTTCCCTAATATTGCTAATTAATATCCTGGTGGGTCCCTTCCTTCCCCTTTGATTGTGGGGCTGCTTTTATTAAAAATTCAGTATGCTTATAAACACCAGGCTCACCTCAGGGCATTCACGGATACCTCTCTGTCCCTCTGGGGCTAATGCAGTCCTCCTCCTCAGTCAATATTCCTCCTTTCTAGATTTCCCCTGATGGGCTTATCTGCTTAGTCAGCCAAAGTATAAATTCTTACCAGGAGAAAAACAGGCTATATTCAAACATCTCAAAATGGAGTCAAGATTTAAATGTAAAAACCAAAAATATAAACACGTCCTAGAAGGAAAAGTGTGAGCATTTATACAATGCTTAGTAAGGAAAATCTTTCTAAATTTGATAATAATGACAGAAACTATAAAGAAAAGACTGGTAGATTTTACTACATAAAAAATACAGAGTATTTGCTATGTCAAAAAAAACCTGAATAAACATGACAGTTAAAGGGCAAATCTGGTCATGTTTTCCCCAGCTCAGCCCCACAAGCCCTTAAAGCCCCTTAAAGTGTCTTCTGGTGCTCCCAGGGGAGATATCAAACCTTGGAGCAGGCCATCAAAGGCACCACCAGCCTGGCCCCTTTTCACTCCCCCAGCCCCATCGTGAATGACTCCCCACCTCACTCAAGAGCCCCCAGCCAGAAACATCTTTCTTCAGTTGCTCACATGTGTCATGCACCCTCTTCTCTGTCTAGAAAGCTCATCCCAGCCCCACACTGACCATCCCCCAACCCCTGAGCCATTCCCAGCTGATTCCTGTATATCCCTCAGCTCTCCTCTCAATGCTCTCTTCCTCAGGAGGAAACCTTCCTGATGTCCCAGCCCTATGTCAGCTCTAACCCAGCTCAAGTAAAGAGGAAATGATGTTCAAGAAGAAAAAAGGTTATAGCATAGGTGCCAACGAAGGTCTGATCAGTCTGAATGTTCAGGGAGGAGACGCACGAGAAGTGGTGAGCGACAACTCTCACATCTAGGTTGTAACACAGAGAATCCTACTAAGGGCTAAAAGCAGCACTGAATCCACCAGCTCTGTGCTGCCAGGAAAATGACCAGTGCTTTTACAAGCCATAATTTAACATGATCCACCCTAGAGGAAATCCTGAGACAATTCAAGAGCAATTAATGTCCAGGACAGTGTCCTCTGACGTTGGTGACAAAAACCTGAGTACTGAGCTCTAGTCACAACCACATGCACACACGCACGCATGCGCTGCTCCTCCTCCGCCCTGAGCAGCAGCAGAGCCAGCGATATGGTCCTTACTGCAGCCGCGGCTCTGAGGTGGTGGCATAGGGCTCGATGAAATCATCCTTTTCAATGTAGGTTGTGTCACTCTCAGACCGGGACCTCCGGCGAGGCTGAGGAATGGCAATGGTCCGGCCGGTCAACGTTGTTGCTAGAATGGCTGCAGCCAGAGCAGATCTACGGACAAAAAGATCCCAGTGAGCGGGTGAGCTGAAGGTTGAACAACAGGGGCCGGCCCTGTGGCTTGGTGGTTAAGTGCGCGCGCTGCGATGCTGGTGGCCCGGGTTCGGATCCCGGGTGCGCATCGAGGCACCACTTCTCCGTTCATCCTGAGGCCGAGTCCCACATACAGCAACTAGAAGGATGTGCAGCTACGACACACAACTATCCACTGGGGCTTTGGGGGGAAAAATAAAATAAATAAAATCTTTAAAAAAAAAAAAAAAAAAAAAGGTTGAACAACAGGATACATGACTTAAGCAGGGGTTACCGTCTCCTCTACAGTGTTAAACGTGTACTGACTAGGTGCCCGTAGTCTGTTATGCGCCATCAGACAACCTCATTTCATTCTCACATCAACTGCATGAATAGATATTATTGTCATCTCCATTTTTCACAGAAATTAAATGACTTATCCAAGATTTCCTAGCTAAGAGGAGATGGAACCAGGTCTCTAATCCAGGCAGTCTATATTTAAGTAGTTTTCCTATTAAAATGAAAGATCAGAATGAAAAAAAAGGGGATATAGGGGCTGGCCCGGTGGCGCAAGCGGTTGAGTGCGTGTGCTCCACTGCAGCGGCCCGGGGTTTGCTGGTTCGGATCCCGGGCGCGCACCGACGCACCGCTTGTTAAGCCATGCTGTGGCGGCGTCCCATATAAAGTGGAGGAAGATGGCCACGGATGTTAGCTCAGGCCCAGTCTTCCTCAGCAAAAAAGAGGAGGATTGGCATTGGATGTTAGCTCAGGGCCGATCTTCCTCACACACACACAAAAAAATATGGGGATATAAAAAGATACCAAAGATTTTAAAAGGCATTTTAAAATCTTGTAAATTATTCAAAACTGTAATATAGGAAAGACACAGTAAAGAGAAACAAAACAACAGACTTACAACTGTCCCAGCTTACTGCCTGAGAGAATTCCCAGGTCCCAGCACAGGGAGGAGGAACTGAGCTGGAGCCAGGCAGACGCGCCGAGTCGTGCAGATGGAGCAGCGAGCAGGACAGGATACCAGAAAGAGGAGAGCCAAACAGAGAAAACTCCGGAAACCTGCAGAAGGCCACCCTGAGTGTTCAGCAAGATGCTCCTCAGTGCGTGAGGGTGAAGCAACTACCCAAGGTCGGGGAAGGACCATCCACAAGGGTTAGAGGCACACTGGCAGGTGCTTACACATGGCTGAGGAAGTGCCTGGTCCCACCAGACAGACGGCAAGAAATTATAATTCATGGGACGTGGGGTAAACTACCCAGAAAGGTCTTGCCGCAGTAGTGGGGAATAATTACCCCAAACTGAGCGCTACTTCAGACCTAACAAATCCTAAAAGCAAGACCCAAAAGATCAAACTGGTTCCAAGTCACTTAACTGCATCCCAGAACAAAATTCAAGGAGACTCACAGGAATACAAAAACACCCAGCACTCAACAAGGTAAAAGTCACGCTGTCTATTATGCAATCAAAGATAACCAGGCATCCAAAGAGACAGGAAAACTTGACCCATAACGAAGAGAAGACGTGATCAAAACCCACTCAGAACTGAACACATATGTTAGAATTAGCAGAGAAAAACATTAAGACAGTTATTATAACTGTATTCCATATGTTCCAAAACCTAAGTAGAGACATGGAAGACTACAAAAAAGACGACCTTCAGGAGATGAAAATTACACTGGATGGGATTAACAGCAGATTACACATTGCAGAAGAAAAGATTAGTGAAACTGAAGGCAAGACAATAGAGAGTAACCAAAATGAAACACAAAAAGGAAAAATATTATTTTAAAAAAAGAGCATAGTGAGACATAAGATTAAAAAAATGCCATTGTTTTATGTTTTAAGCCACTAAGTTTTGGTGTAATTTATTACACAGCAACAGATAACTAACACAATAGCCTTTCATGAAATAGTGCTGAAACTAGTGGATACCCAGATGCAAAAAAACGAACTTGAATCCGTACCTGCCGCACCATATACAAAAATTAACTCAAAATGGATCATAGACCTAAATGTAAAGCCTAAAACTATAAAACTTCTAGAAGAAAATATAGGAGAAAATCTGTGTGACTTTAGGTTAGGCAAAGATTTCTTAGATATGATACTGAAATCAGGATCTGTAAAAGAAAAAACTGATAAGATGAACTTCATAAAAATTAAGAATTTCTGCTCTTTGAAAGACACTGTTAAGAGGATGAAAAGATAAGTCACAAATGGCGAGAAAATATTTGCAAATCATATATTTAATAAATGACCTATATCTGGAATATATAAAGAACTCTCAAAATACCATAACAGGAACACAAACAACCCAATTTATAAAAGTGGGGAAAAAGATTTGAACAGACACTTCAAAGATATACAGATGGCAAATAAGCACATGAAAAGATGCTCAACACCACTAGTTATTAGAGAAATGCAAAATAAAACGACAATGACATACCACTACGCACCTATTAGAATGTCTAAAATTTTAAAAATTGGCCAAGACAATCCCTCATGCTCTTCCTTTCCAACCTGGGCCCAGCAGAAGGCTCCCCCAAAGAAGGGTGGTGAGAAGAAAGGGCCCTTCTGCCATCAACAAAGTGGCAACCCGAGAGTACCCCACCAGCATTCACAAGTGCATCCATGGAGTGAGCTTCAAGACATATATCTCTTGGCATATTTCCAGAGATCCAGAAATTTGTGAGAAAGGAGTTGGGAACTTCAGATGTGCACATGAACTGCAGGCTCAACAAAGCTGTCTGGGCCAAAGGAATAAGGAATGTCCCATACTATATCAGCATATGGTTGTCCAGAAAGCATAATGAAGACGAAGATTCACCAAACTAACTCTGTACATTGTCACCAAACTCTATACCTGTCACCACTTTCAAAAACCTACGGACAGTCAATATGAATGAGAACTAATGTCAAATACAGTCATGTGTCACTTAACAACTGCAATATGTTTTGAGAAACGCGTCATTAGGCAATTTTGTCGTTGTGAGAACATCATAGAGTGTACCTACATAAACCTAGATGGTATAGCCTACCACACACTTAGGCTATATGGTACTAATCTTATGGGACCACCATCGTACATGTGGTCCACTGTTGACCAAAACGTTGGCACGTAGCGCATGACTGTAAAATTTTAAAACCACACACATACCCCCACACAAGACTGACCAAACCAAGTGTTGGTGAGGAGGTGAAGCAACTGGAAATCATATACTGCTGGGGGGGACATAAATGGAATAAGAACTTTGGAAAACAGTTAGGCAGTTTCTTAATAAGTTAAATATACACCTAGTATATGACCTACCTAGTCCACTCCTAGATATTTACTCAAGAGAAATGAAAGCATATGTCCAAACAAAAATTTGTACACAAATGTTCACAGCAGCTTTATTTCTAAAATAAATAAAAACTGGAAACAACCCAAATATCCATCAACAGGTAAATGGATAAACAAATTGTGACATATTCATATAATGGAATACTACTCAGCAATAAAAAGGATGAATTATTGATTTTCACAACAAAATGGATGAATCACAAAATAAGTATGCTGAGTAAAAGAAGCCAGTATAATTATTTTGTGTAATTTGGTTTATAGAAAATTCTAGAAAATGCAGACTAATCTATAGTGACAGAAAGCAGATGAGTGGTTGCTTGGGAATGGGAGTGAGGGTGGGTTGGGCAGGGGAATGGGAAGTGAGAGAGAGGGGCAGGAGGTAGGAATTACAAAGGGACATGAGGAAATGTTAGGGGATGATGGATATATTTATTATCTGGATTGTGGTGATGGTTTCATGGGTATAAACACATGTCAAGACATTATACTTTTAATTATGTACAGTTTATTGTATGTCCATTATACCTCAATAAAACTGTTTTAATAAAGATAAAAGGCTGTTGAAAGCAAAAACAGTAACAATATATTGTGGAGTTTACGACACATAGAATTAAAATATATGACAACAGTAACACCAAGGATGCGAAGGGAGAAATAGAAGTAAATTGCTGTAAGATCCTTACACTATCACGCTGTACATGAAGTGGAATAATATCAAAGTTTAATTTGAATTTATTTTTTAGAAATAAAAAAGTCTACAAATATGCCAAATTGCCAAAGCCATGTTGATATTTGGGCTTATAAAGATTACAATCCAGGAAGACATTTTTGTAAAGCACAGGCGACTGCAGAGAGAGATTTTCTAATGAAAGTACAGCATGCTTGCCATGAAATGATATGTGTTTTTTTGTTTTTCTGCTTTATAATGGAATGTAAAGCTAATCCTCTCACTATTATGGCTGCTACACAAACACTTACGTCCTAATGACACAACGAGAGTGTTGTTTACACAAACCCTGAAGAGCTGGAGAGACCCACAAGTGCATCACAGCAACGCCACCACTTGCCAGCTGTGAGATTTGGGCCAACGACTAACACGAGCTCAGAACCGAGACACCAGTAGGACCTCTCTCACTGGGTCAGTGAGAAAATGTGATGAAATAACCCTTCTGAAGCACTTACCAGGGTCCTTGGTGCAGAGTAAACACTAATAAATGGCTACTCTTGTTATTAACATCACACTGAAGCAAAAAACAAACACTAAAAATATTTCAGTGTTTTTTAACAGGAGGCGTACAATATTCTAGTTTCAAAGAACACTAAAACGAAGGCACCACCCTTGAAATGAAATTAGTTCTCATTGTTAATAGTTGAGCCATGCATCCATGTATTTTACGGATAAAACATAATCTAAAATTCTCTTGTGTCTAAAACCTTGGAGGGCACAGGCAAGGGTCTCAGGCGTAACAGAAAGGCAGCTCGCTGGTGTGTTAGGAGCACTGCAGGGTGGAGAGTCCCAGGCCCCAGCAAGTGAACAGACACTTCCTTCCCTCCCACACAGCAGTCCATCTGAAAGGTAGACTTGCATCTAAAAAAGAAAATTATGTGCACAATCAAATTCCTTTTACCATACTATCAACCTAAATATTCAGGCTTTAATGCTTCATATTTTGAAAAGCACTAATTGCATTCAATTATGAAACATGAGAACTCCATACACCTGAAAGGGATGGCCTCATCCCACAGAGAAACCACATGAAGTGCTTCGTTACGGAACCACCATGAGTATCTCAAAGGACATGACTCTTGTTGCCCTACTTGTGATTTTCTTACCAGTCTGGACAGTTCCAGGCCCCAGCACTTGGCGCCGAGCACAAGGGCGACCACAGTGCCTGCTCACTGGAGACTCACCTGGGTCTCTCTGGAGAGGGGTTGGGGCTGCGGGGAGGAGGGGTGCGGGGCACGGCGGGCTTCGGTGCGATGCTGGCGGCAGGGAGAAGGCCATGGACGATGTGTTTCTGCATAGATGAAACCCAGCAGAGGTCATGAATGTATGGGGTCACCTGGGTCCTGCCACCACCCCTCCCTGGGCCTGGGAGCAGACACCTGCACTGGCCACCCAGTGATCTAGCCCCCCTAGGAGGCCCACTCCACCCTCTGCCATCCTCAATCCCCATCTGGCCAGGCAAGCAGGGAGCGCCATTACAGCTGCCCATTGTGGGGGCTCCCTCGTCCTTCCCTCCCCAGAGAGGCTTCCCTGACCACCCCCAGAGTCACCCCCACGTCCACTTGTCTCCCAGCACTGCCCCTGATGACTCCCTCACTTGCCACCCCCTGCAGAATGGAAGCTTCCTGAGAGCAGGCAACCATCTCGTCTTTATCAGCCCTGGAACTCTAGCACTTAGCACATTGCGACACCTAGTAGGGGCTTAAGATTGTAGGCAGTTTATCTCAAAGATGCAGAGTAACAAAAATTAATTTCTACACACAATGGAAGTCAGAGAACCATGCCCAGGCAACTGGGAGTGTCTCAGAAGTTTCTGAGTGTAGCCCAGTCTTCATTTTCTAGGCACCAACCCCTCATTCACACCTACTAGAGGCAAAACACCACGACAGCAATGAAGGAACCTTGTCTTCCTTCTTAGGTAATAGAGTACAGAGGCAAGCACCCAAACACTATGTAACACAGAATTATGGATAGTGCTAAGGGAGAGAGAGAGAAAAAGTGCTGGGGTGGCCCAGGGAGGGAAGGTCTCCTTCAGGTCTGGGGGCCAGCAAGGGGACCTCTAACGTCCCCTTGGAGAAAATCACAGAGCCATTTAGCCTGGGTCATCAAAGATGGCCACTGCTCTTACATTTGGGAATGTCATGGAAAAGCATTCTAGGAAGAGGGAACAGCATGAACAAAGGCATGAAAAAAGACATTAGTGGCAGTATTCTGGAAATAAGAAGTACTCCAGTTTGCTAGAATACAGAGGCATCTGGGAGGGAGAGGCTAGAACAACAGGCTGTGGGTAAGAGTGGGGACTGTTTCCATTTAAGAGCTTTGACATCAGATTAAGGAAATCCTAGTGAGGAGCACCCTCTGAGACTGGCCCCTGGAAAGAGTAACCAGGCAGTGGTAGGCACGTGCTACAGCGGAAAGAAGGGAGACACAACCAGGAGGAAGAGCCAGGGTTTTGGGCATCCTTCAGGAACGAGGGATGGGCAGACCTTCCAAAAGTCTCCTGCAGCCCCCCATCCAGTTCCACTACCACGGCCAACCCCAAGGGCAGGGGTTCCAGAGCAGTCTTTGCTGTATCCCTCTACTCTCTGTTTACCTCTCTGGGTAGCACCTGCCATGCTGCATTTGTCAAGCAATTTGACAGTTTAGTGTCTGCCTCCTCCCCCATCCCCCACCGCCTGGGAGAAGCTCAAGGACAAGAACGGGTTTTCTCCGCCTTTGAATCCCCAGGGGCTGGCATCCAGCAGGTCCTCCAGAAAGGCACCATGCGTTTTGTTTTATTTTTGAGAGAGTGAATCTCCCACAGTATGCTGAACATTTTTCACTTGTACCACTATAATCATTTCCTAACTGTCGTAATCCTGCCTCAGTCTCCAAAACATCGGATGAACCACCTCAACCCAGCATGAAAGCCCTCATGGGCAGCCCACTCTCTTGATGACAGGTAAAGGTAAATGGTCTAGCACGACATAGAAGGCTGCTACCAGTTGGTTCCTACCAACGGACCCAGATTCATTTCTTGCCACCCTCCTCAACCCCACACACATCCTCTAAGCTTTAGCGCTCAGAATTACCTTCCTTTTCCCACACAGCAAATAACTCATTCCAGGTGGTGTTTACTCCACCTGGAATTCTCTTTACTCCCCCTCGAGGCCCAGGTCAACTCTCCAGACTGACTTTGCTGCCCCTTCCCTGATACACGACTCCACGGCAGTTCTTGCCTTACCATTTCCTGCTGAATTACTTATAGGTTTGTCTATCCTTTAGACAGTGTGGCCATAGGCTGTCAATCAATTGTGGGTATCTGTCACACAGTGAGAATTCAACAATGCAATAAAAGCTCAATAAACACGCTGAGTTAGCAACACTGCAGTGCAAAAACGCGCTTCAACTACGTCTTCGTTGCTTCTCAGCATCCACCTGTCTACCAGCAGGTGGTAGGGTTGAGAACAGAAGCCAAGTCAGGCACGCTTTCTAACCTCGATTTCAAACAGAATTCAGGAGTGCCCTTATCAAAATGATTGCTCTGCACTTACAGTATTGCGTTAACGGAGAACTGGATGTAAGTAGGTTTGGAGTTTGGCAAGGCAAGTATGGAACAGAGAGAGGAGCAAGGGAGTTGAAGGTGTATATGGGGAGTGGTTATAATGATGGACCGTGGATTTAGAAATTAGGGCTGGAAACGAAGGCAATAAAGACATTGGTTAGATCAATAGATGAGTGGTGGTGGTGGGGGGGGGGGTTGTCACCGGATTGTTGGAGTCAGGTGGGTAGAATCAATGGAACTTGCTGAAAGGGTATACGTGGTGGATGGCGGAGGGAGGAACCAAGAATGACTTCTCACTGGGGGATATCCAGCACTGGAGCAGGTTCGTGCCAGGCAGGAGTGAATCCCCCGACACTGGAGCGAATGTTGCAGGGGAGACAGGGCGATTCCTGTCCGACTGAGGCCGACCCTGGGATAGAGAATTCTTTAGAACACAAAAAATCAGGGCTTCTCGAACGGAAGATCACTTCCTCTTGCGCCGCTACCTTGCCTCAATCTCAACCAAATCCTAACCCCGCCCCTCTTAACTCCTGGTCCCCGGGCCAGAGCGCAGGCCGGGCGAGGATCTACTCACAAAGTGGCTCTTGCGGCCTCTCCGAAATCCCAAGAGCATCCTTGCTTCGGAAGATCACCAGGCCAAGGCTGGACCGACAAGCCGATCTCAGACTGAGGACCGCTCCCTAAAGCCTGTCCGCTCCAGTTGGCCTAGCCCCAGACGCCTTTTCTATGCAGTGGACTTCGCAACAACCACGTCTGCCATTGGCTCTTCTTTCGAACCGGCCAATCAGAGCCAAGGTTACTGCCTACCCGTCGCTCTTGGCAACCAGAGGGCCCCATTCAAATTCTCTCCAGGGCGGAAACAATGCGCGCTGTCCATTCTGATTGGACAGATAAGATGTCAATCTCTGACGCCATAGCCTATCCGGCGCCGCGAGAGGCCGAGGGCGGGCGGGATGAAGGCGTAGGCCTGCGCACTGGAGAGAACGCGGAAGTGGCACACCGCAGGTAATGTCTGCGGAGAGCTTAGCCTTGTGCCGAGGTGGGGCGTCTGCCGCCTGCCCCCCGCCCTGGACTGGACTGAGGAGACACGGCGCGGACCGAGCAGGGTACCAGGGGCCATGCAGGTGACGGAAATGAGGGACGCGGCTGCCAGGACAGGAATCTCCTGCTTCTTGGACTTTGGCAAATAATTGGGTCTTTTAAAGAACGCTCTGCAGACGGGCTCCTGCCACAGAAGCCTCGGCTTGGAGTGGACTGTGGGGCCGTGTGCAGGGAGCCTGCGCAAGTGCAGTCTTGCATTCCCCTCGTTAGAGCGAGGGCGCCGATGGAAGGGAAGCCCCCTAATGGCACAGGCCCCATGCACGTGCCTTTGGGGCACGTTGTGGCCAATGAGAAGTGGCGCGGGTCGCAGCTGGCGCAGGAGATGCAAGGTCGGTGGGTTGCCCTCTGCATAAACCCTCTCTCTCCTCGCTCCGCTTTTTAAAAACCTTCTCCCCATTGCGGCCTTTTCATCCGAAGCTCACGGAACTCTTTTTCTTGTCTGTGTTTTAAGGGAAAGTTAAACTCGTTTTTGAGGCTGGTCTGACACCGGTAGATTTTTACTTGCCTAGCAGATCCTGCATTCTTTATGTCACCGAAGCTGATTTGGTGGCAGGAAATGGCTACAGAAAGAGGCTTGTTCGCGTTAGAAATGTAAGTAATTACACAGAATTAAAGAAAATGAAATTGAAAATTGACTTCTATCCCCCCTCCCTCTATTCCTTGGAATAATTTATATAAAACTGTTGGCCATTCCAAGCACTCTTGGAGTGATAGCTTTCTTAATCTTAAAAGGAATTTTGTTACAAAATGGTTTACTGTCTTTTTTTTTTTGAAGTCCAGTAGTCTTCAAGGGATTGTAGTAGTGGAAAAAACGCAGATGAGTGAACAGTACTTCCCCGCCATACAGAAGTTTACTGTGCTGGATCTTGGGATGGTGTTGCTTCCAGTGGCCAGCCAGATGGAGGCGTCCTGCCTCATTATCCAGTTAGTAAGTACTGGTTCCTACTCCTCCACGATAGCCCAGCCTACCGACTCTGAAAGGACCTTCATGGATCCTCTTCTCTAGCAGCTGCCTTTACTACAGATGCAGTCAATCCATCAAGCCAATCAATATCATCCCCTGTTGGTTTATAAAACCTTGCAGAGGAGTTGAAGTTCAGAAGCTGCCTCTGCAGCTGGCTGAGCTTGCGGCCCATTCTAGGCAAGTGTATAACAGAGCGAACAGGTTGGAGGCCTGATTTTAGACTCCCACGCTGTGCTGACTCCATCATTCATTGTTCTGCACTTATGCTGGTGAAAATGTCAACTAGCAGCTGCTTTGCCTCGCCCCTGCATATCATTTATGAAGCATCAACACTTGCTGTGTGCAAGGTTATGTTTTGTTTATTTTAAACCTGGTTCTCCATTGTCCTGATTACTCAGCTTGGTTGTGCATAGAATTTCCTGGGGAACTTTAAAAAATAGTGATACATGAGCCTTACCTCAGACCAATTAAAAATCAGAACTTGGGGTAGGGCTTGGGCATCAGTTTTTGTTGTTGTTTTTAAATCTCTCCCTTTGATGCGTAACTAGGGTTGAGACCCAAATTGGAAATGCAAGCAGCCCTGTGTTGTTCACAGATCCCTCTCCACTCTCAACCACATCCCCTGCGTCACTATTCCTTCCTTGATATAATGCTTTTGTCTGCCTTACTGTAACCACCACTAACTGAAGACAGGGTTTCTCCTTTGATAGGCAAGCTTCCTCCCGGTCCTGTATCAGGCAGGTCCAGTTTAGGTAGAGCCATCATTTAATCCCATTCAACTGAAACATTTCTTAGTGGACTATAGGCAAACGGTTGAATTCCTCAGAGTGTTTTTATTGGTTGTATCCTAAGCATTCTCAAAACTCAAGTTTTTGTAAATTAATTTTTATCTCTTACTCATCGTGTAGTCATATGGTTCATCTTTCAATAATTTTGCTGATGTCTGAAAAATTATGTGTGGGATATGAATATAATTCATATAATAAATGTTTATTTGTAGTGGTAAGTCAAGCTGAACCAAACTAAAACTAATGGAAAAGTTTTAGTTTTCCAAATGGAAACCAAACTAAAACTAATGGAAAAAATTTAGTTTCCCAAGTGAAAAATCTAAAACTAAATTTCCACAAATTTTTAAGAAAACTGCCAGTCCTCTAGAGGGCGCTCACATGCTTTTCCTTTAATTTTGGTTCAGGTTCAAGAGCAAACGAAAGAGCCCAGTAAGAACCCTTTTCTCAGGAAGAAACGGCCGCTGATCTCTGAGCTGTCCCTCCTCCGAACCGTGCAACAGATCCCAGGAGTTGGAAAAGTTAAAGCTCCCCTTCTGCTTCAGAAGTTTCCAAGTCTCCAGCAGCTGAGTAATGCTTCCATCCAGGACCTGGAGCCAGTGGTCGGACAAGCAGTAGCGCAGCACGTTCACACGTTCTTCACGCAGTCCAGGTGACAGCTCCTCTCATGGCGCTGCCGTTTTCTCCTTCAGCCCACAAACTACAGGATCTTGTTTTTTCATATTAAAAAAACAAGAAAAGAGACCTCCTCCCACAGCAACTAGTGAAAGATGAGGCGAGGCCTGCATGGAACCTGCTGGTTGTCCTGCCCTGCTCTCTGGGTTCAGGCATTTGAGTGAGTGGGCTCCAGATGGCACCGCCCTCATTCTGCTAGCATGAAGAGGGCCATGAGATCTTCCTAAGAGAGTCACTTTAATTAGGGACTCGAAGATTCAGCAAAAAGCCAGCTTGGGCAGATTTTAATGTGTGACCTTGACCTGCATCTGTCATGGAAAGGTCTTATCAAGTTTCAGGTGGTGGATGTGATCGTCTAAAGGAAACAAACCGACAATGAAGCACTGTGTACCATAAGCCCCTTGTTCCTGGTGGCAGAGCCGCTGTTCTTCAGGTCTGGTCTTAATATACCTGTGCCTTGAGGGCTGCTGCCAGTATAAACAAACAATTGTACTGCCTTTTTTCTTCCTTCCTTCCTCCCTCCCTCCCTGCCTGCCTGATAGCTGCACAGTTTGTTTATAATCACTGGGTACGCCTTCTGAACACAGAAAGCCTGGAGTTTGGAGTTCCCATTTCAAGATAAAAAGCCATGTGTGTGAGGGAGGAAGAGAAGGTGTTTGTAAATGTATAGCCCAACAGTGGGAAAATATATAGGAAAATGGCAGGGACAGCTGCATCCAGAGGGGGGGGGGGGGGGCTGGGGAACAAAAGGTACAATTGCCCATTCGAAAAATAAAGACAAAGATACTAGATAACTTGAAAGCTTTTTAAGTCCTGTTTTGTGAAATGTAATTTTCAAAAATCAAACACAATAAAAACATTTTGTGCATTAGGGTAGAAATGATTTGAAAGAGGAGGGAATTGAAGTGAAATAAAAGTAAACAACTTTAACTCAGGCAAATGAATGTGTTTATTTAAATATTTATACAAAAATGGCCCTAAGAGCAGTGGATACACTTTCTCAAATGTGGTTGCTTCCCTTCTGATATTGCACACTAGAAAATACTTCAATTCTTGTTAATTCGCAAGATTAGATTTCAGTGCTCTATTTTTGTAGCTATATAACTTGTACTATGTCCACAGTGACTCTTATTAGAATCTCGGTGTCATCCAACTTAGAGCAAGAGAAATCACTTGGTAAGAATGTCATTTTAAAAAGTCAAATAGAGCTTTAAACTTGAATCACATCTTTACCTTATAAAATGTTTTTAACCCACATTAAAGACTCTTAAAATAGACAATTACGTACCTTCTACTTTAAACAAAATGAAGAATGTTTTGAGTATCAAACAGTATATTAATCTACCTTGTAGACAGCATCTTCACCTAACACTGCCACTGTGTTAGCAACTTTTAAATGACATGAAACGCGAAGAAAAGCTGCTTCTTCACTTGTTTTTTGATCTAGTAAATCATGACAAATTTGGCGCTAGACTTTATCTGGAAATAGCATTCATATTAAGTAGAAATAATAGTAAAATCTTGTCATTTTAGGTTAATAAGTTCCCCTTAGGAAGCAGCTCTTTGGAACAGTTTTTAGTGACACTAATTGAAATCTATTAGTATGGTCCCTTGACCTGCCTTAATTTGGGGTCATCTGAATTCTGAGTCAAGGAATGATCTATTACCTAAACCTGGAAACTTACAAATATAGGGAACCCCAATTTAACTGGGATAGTAACTAAAAGTCACAATTGTAGCTGTTAAAAATAGTCATATTTCCAACGCTATTGTATTTACAATACTCTATATAATAAATAAATTGCAGCAATACGGTGAGACTCCCCGAATAAGTTTGTTTTCCACAATTCTAGAGGTTTCTTGTTACTTTCCTTCATAAAGACATATTAATTGTAAGTTGATGCTGTGAGAAAACAGGATTTGAGAATGTTTAGAAATTTTCCATTATGGCACAAGTATGAAGGCCTCGTCAGCACCGAAAGTGTTTCGGGCCTGAACGTTTTGTTTCCTCACATTAGTACAAAGAACTGTCGGAGTTGAGAAGGCTGAAAGGAGAGGGGAGCTTCTTCTTGGCTTGAGGCCTCGCAACCCCAACCGACGGGAGGCACAAGGTGCTGGCCGACTTCTGTCTGTTCTTGTTGGTGCCCCAACTCAAAAAAGAAAGCTTTTTTGAGATTTTCTTGGTTTTACCAGTTTTATCGTCATCATCTATGGCTAAGCAGATCATGGAGTAGGTTTTCTGCATCCCCACAGAGTATGTGGCACTCTTATTATGCTGCACATAGAAATGGAAGAAAAAGGATGTTAGAAATCCTCAAGATAGCTGATAAATGATTGCCAAGTCTGAGACATGCCGCAATTATAGCATCCTCATTAAAATTAAGTTGATATAATTCTGAAACTCGGGTGACCAATGCTTATGTAAAATTAGGTTCTTAAAGACAAGGACATGGGCCGGCCCCGTGGCTTAGCGGTTAAGTGTGCGTGCTCCGCTGCTGGTGGCCCGGGTTCGATCCTGGGCGCGCACCGACGCGCCGCTTCTCCGGCCATGCTGAGGCTGCATCCCACATGCAGCAACTAGAAGGATGTGCAGCTATGACATACAACTATCTGCTGGGGCTTTGGGGGAAAAAATAAATAAATAAAATTATAAAGACAAGGACAGGAGGCAGCCTGGTGGTGTAGTGGTTAAGGTCAGCACGCTCGGCTTTGGCGGCCTGGGGTTCATGGGTTCAGATCCCGGGTGTGGACCTATACCACTCATCAAGCCATGCTGTGGCGGCATCCCACACAAAATAGAAGATGGGCACAGATGTTAGCTCAGGGCCACTCTTCCTCAAGGAAAAAGAGGAGGATTGGCAACAGGTGTTAGCTGAGGGCCAATCTCCTTCGCTAAAAAAGAAGAGGAAAAAAAAAGACAATTCTTAAGGAATATACTGAGTAGTAGTAATTTAGGCTGGGGACCACTACTCACTTGTTAAGGTTCTTATTTGAAAAAGTAATACATACTCATGGTCAACAATATGAGAATACATACAATGAACGGTAGGTGTCCCTCCCACCTTTGCTTCCATAGGCCCTTCCCCTGAGGTAATCACTATTTCTGTTACACTTTTAGAGAGAATGTTCATGTACAGGAATTGATACGTGTGTAAGTCTACCTCACCATGTGTCTCTCCTTGAAAGCAATACACTACACACACTGGTCTGCCCCTGCTGTCTTCACTCAATGTATCTTGGATTTCAGTTCACGCCAAGAGGTATAGATCAACTTCATTCTCTTTAAAGACAATATAGAATCCACGGTGAAGATACTATTAACTTTTTTCTGTGTTTTAAACTGCTGACATAAACATAACAAAATGTATCATTTTAACCATTTTTAAGGGTACAGTTCAGTGGCATTAAGTACATTCACACTATTGTGTAACCATCACCACCATCCATCTCCAGAACTATTTCATCTTCCCCAAGTGAAAACACTACTATGAACTTTTAAAGGATTGTGTGGGACTCCAATAGAAAATCTGAAGAAACTTGCTTTCTAGACACTTTCCAGTGGGCTATCACCTGCTTCTAAGGTTCGCCTAACATTGAGACTGCTTTGTTCACCAATGTTTGTTGAACATCTGCTAGGTTCCAGGCACTGAAACCAGGCCATTTATAGAAATACACAACAGACCTCAAGTGGTTGAGTGCATCGTTCAAAATACAAATTGAGGAATGTGAGTGATGCAGCAGTAAAGGAGCGGTGTTCCTTAGAAAATGTCCCTCTCGAGTCTGGCTCCTTTGGATGAAGATGCCTCTCCCTTTTCTATAAAACTGCCCATTAATCCCTCCGTGCTCTACAGGGCACACACGCTATCATTAAAAACAATAATAAACAGTCCCGGAGGTAGATTTGATGGCTGCAAACATTTCTCAACCTTAACCTATTGCGAGTCCGTTAGGCACCATGACCACTCCCTTACAAACACCCTCAGTTCTCTTCCATGCTTCACCTGGCGAAACTCCACCCTCTGCCCCTCGCAGGCCTGCATCCAGACAGATGCACATTTACGTTAGTGCCATCGAGGCGATTCTCACCTGCCACAGTATGACAACCGACAGGCGGATGTTATGGTTCCCTAGCCGGGAAGGGAACCTGGGCCGCCGGGGCAAGAGCACCAAATCTCAACCACCAGACCCCCAGGGCTGGCTAGCGGCATGTTACTGGAGGATATTCACCAAGCCAACCGGCTTCCCCCCAACCCTGACCCCAAACCTCTACCGGTCACCCCATTACCTGGCACGCCTGCATTTCCCTGGTAATTTCACTCCTCTTCTCCTAGATACCTTCTCTCAAGCCCCTCCCACCCTCCTGATATCCTTGCCTTATACTTGACTGCATGTGTCCCCAAACAGAAGCGCTCCCGTGTGCCTGGATCTCACTGCCTCTCTCCTCCAGGTATCCTCTCCTTCCTGCACTCCTGTCGCCCAGACCTTTCCCACCAGCACACAAGCTTACTGTGCTGCGCGGGCGCACACACACACTCCACCTTCTTTGAAAAGCTCTCCTTTTCCCTATGTCCCCCCTCCCAGCTACCAGCCCAACCTCTCTGAGCTCCCTTTCCCAGTCTTCCCTTCTTCCCGTTCACTTTTTTCCTGTCCTCATCCAGCGTGCTCCCCACTACCCATTCCCCACATCTTCCCGGGACACCTCTCGGGAACTCTCAGGGCTTTATGGAGCACAGTTTGAAACCACTGCACTGGTCTATCTCTTACATTGTACCAATGAGGAAACGGAGGCCCAGGGAGGGTATTAACCTGCGCAAGGTCACACAGCTTGTTGATAGCAGACAGGGCCTGACTGGAGCTCTTGGATTCCAAGCCTGGGATTCTTTCCACTCCACCAGCAGTTTTCAAAATGTGCTCCATGGAGGAGTACTAGGGATCCCCATGGTCATCCAGAGAGAGTAGGGCAGCAGGGAACAATTCAGCCGGAGCACTGGGCTGTATTGTTCTCATTATCTGGTTTTGTTTGAAGAAAAGGCTCGGCAGTTAAAAACAGTGCTCAGAGCTGGCCCAGTGGCTTAGCAGTTAAGTGCACGTGCTCTGTCCGCTACTGGCGGGCCGGGTTCGGATCCCGGGCGCACACCAATGCACCGCTTCTCCAGCTGTGCTGAAGCCGCGTCCCACATACAGCAACTAGAAGGATGTGCAGCTATGACATACAACTATCTACTGGGGCTTTGGGAAAAAAAAAAAGGAGGAGGATTGGCAATAGATGTTAGCTCAGAACCGGTCTTCCTCAGCAAAAAAAGGAGGATTAGCATGGATGTTAGCTCAGGGCTGATCCTCCTCACCAAAAAAAAAAAAAAAAAACAGTGCTCAATGGTCATTATCTAAAGTCCTTGCGGTGTGAAAAGAATAACCACGTCATGGTTATCATTATTATGACATCTACTATAAACTGAAATGTAGTCTTGCTGGGCACTGTTCTCCCCATTTTCCTGAGGCTCAGAGCTATTCCCTGACACCCAAGGTCACATAACTGGTGATAAAGCCAGGATTGAAACCCAGGCGCTCTGAGTATAGAATCCTTGCATTGAACATGACATCAGCTTCTTCATTGGCCTGGTTCAAAGATATGATGGCATTGAGAGATAAGCCCTTGCATCTCTCCAGGGGCAGGCCCGCTCTGTAAGGCCACGTGTCCCCCAGCTGTGCCCTCTACCCCGGCCCTTCAGTCCAGAGCCCAGCTCTTTTCTTCATCATTCTGTGGACAAACTTCTTTTCTGTTTCTGGTTGGGACCTTTATCACTCGTCCTGCAATTCTACGGATTCTGCCCCTAAGAGCACCATTTCTTATGATCGTTTTGTCCCAAGGTGCTCTGTGAGTCCCTTATCTTTTTTGTTTTAATTGATATAATTCATATACCATAAAATTCACCACTTTAATACAATCCAGGGGTTTTTAGTATATTCACAGAGTTGTGCAATCACCACCACTACCTAATTTCAGAACATTTCCATCCCCCTCAAAAGAAACCCTGCACCCATCAGCAGTTACTCCCCACTCCCTGATGCCCCAGCCCCAGCCCCTGGCAACCACTAATCTATATTCTGTTTCTAGGGATTTGCTTACTCTGGACGTTTCTTATCAGTGGACTCGCACCGTCCATTCACTCTCCAACCCTCTCTAATCTGAGTTCTGTTGCCATGTCTGCCCCAAGTGTCCCTTTGTCCTGCTGCCAAAGAGAAGAGACACAGCTCCGCCTCCCTCATTCTCCCCCCCTTACCTGTATTCAGCACAGCCCACCGCTCTCTCGGGCAGGGTTTTCTTCTCTTGATTTCAGAAGCTCCTTTCATCCTACCACTCTGAGCTCTCCTTCACAACTTCCTTTGTGCCTACTTCTCCCAGCTGTCCTCCAGACGTTTACAGTCTCAGGCTTCAGTCCTCGGCCCTCAGCCCCTCGCAGAATATTTCGTTTAGTCTCTTACAGCTTCAAATATCATCTCTGTGCTGGTGATTCTCAAATCTTTATTTCTGGCTCTGACTTCTCCCTTGAACTGAAGATTTGAACATGAACTGCCTACTCTACATTGACACGTGGACGTCTGATGGCATATGAAACATTCAAAGCACGACCCCTGTTTTCTCTCTCCTCCATCTCCCTCACCCCTGCCCCCCATGCCCGTCACTATGAAAAACAATGCAGTTGTTCAAGCCAAAAACTGAGGCATCACCTCTCTTTCCACTATCTTTTTTACACAAATCCTCTACAAATCCCTGCCAGCTCTACCTCCAAAATAAGTCTCAGGTGCATCCAGCCGTCTCCCCTGCACTGTCACCTCCCCTAGCATAAGCTGCTAACATCACTGGGCTGGACGACTGCCATAGCCAGCTCACCGTGCCGCCACTCGGCCAGACCTCCTTCTAAAATCAACACCATACCACGTCAGTCCCCTTTCAAAAGGTTCAATGACTTCCAAACTCCCACCACTGCCAACGAGGCCTTTCCTCCCCACCACCTCACTTCCTGCCGCTCTCTCCCTTGTCACGAAGCTCCAGCCGCAAGGCCTTCTTTTGGTTGCAGAAGCTTGTTCCTGCCGCAGGGTCTCTGCACCTGCTGGGCCCCCTGCCCTGCCCAGATGGTCCTCTGTACCACTTCAAATGTTCCTCCTTGTCATTCAAGTCTCAGCGCAAGCCCCGTCCAGAGGAGCCTCTCCCACCACGAGTCATTCTACCAGGTTACATGTTTTATGTTCTTTACACACTTATAAAAAGCACAACCACTTATTTGCTTATTTAGGGCCAGCTTCGTGGGGGCAGGGACCTTATCTGTCTAGTTCAAGCTGCAGCTCCGACACCTAAGAAGGGCCTGGCACACAGCTGATGCTCAGTCAATATTTGTTGAATGAATAAATGAATATTGTTATCGAGGGAAGTGTCTAAGGTACATTATTAAATGCGGCCAAGTGCGTAAGAGTATGTATGCAACGATTCCTCCCGCTTGGGAGAAAAAAGGATACAACTGTGCACGTGAACTAGCATGGGCACACACCCTTCCTGTCTCTGACATGTGGAAAGGGTCTTGCACACATCATCTTAGGCCCTTCTGTACAAGTTGAACATTTTCTTTTACCATGAGTATGTATTACTTTTGTAGTTAAAAAGAATTTAATCAGAAAAATAAATCAATTGGTTCTTTTATCTACAGGATTAACAAAAGAAAAGTTTTCCAATGATCCTTTTGACCCAAGGTGAGCACATCCCAACGATGACGAGCTGCGGAGTTCGGTTTGTGGCATGTTACCAGTGCAGGCGGGACGCACAGAGCCTGGTCAAGACCTCCGCGGTGGGCTCACACCAACCTCCCTCCACGCCTACTTCCCGCCGGGGGGTGTCAGCGCTCACCATGGACGAGGCGGGGTCCAGCAGGCTCACAAGCTTCATCTCAAGGGCGTCCTCGTTCTTCAGCAGCTTCATAACCTCGCTCACCGTCAGCCACTTACAATCCACGTTGTGAATGGAAACAATATAATCCCCCTCCTTGGCTCCTGCCAGCTATAAAAGTGTGATTGAAATAAAGGGCAACGTTCTGTTCATTCAAGTCCCTGAATCAGTTCCCAAGTTCATTAACAAAAAAGATGTTTGTATAGGTTTGCTTCAAGAAAGCAAAAATTAACCCTTTTCTCTTGGGGCATGTAACATCCATGAGAGGCCTTTTGCCTAAAGTCAGCCTTTCACATAAAGGAACCCTAAATTCATTCACCTAGATACATTTGTTTGGGCAGCTTTCTTTGTATTTTACCAGTCTGACTGCCTGCAAAGATGCCAGTGAGTCTGCTCCCCATCTAGAACGGTCCAGGCTTACCGCAGCAGAGCAGTGTGGATCCAGGCAGTGGACTTGAACTGGGGAGTTTCCTCTCAAGGTGAACCCCAAGTCCCCTTTTTCTGCAGTGAAGTGAATGCTTCGAGGAGGTGTCCATCTCTTGTTAGCCGAAAACACAGATAAAGGGCCCTTTGGAAGAGAGCATCATTAGGTGTAGGATCTGAAGGCTGAATCAGGCATTTGAAAACTAAAGGGAAGTTCTCCTTACAGGTTTCGCCTGACCTTGCTCAGAGACTAACACCACCATCTGGGATAATATGTGCTACAGCAGTCATACAAGAACACTAATTGCCATTTCTCTAAAGTATCTGATATATTTTAAATAAAATTATCCTTTTAAAATTATCTTAATTAAAATGATCTTATATAAAATCTCTAGTTAAAATTCAAAAATATCTAAAAATAGCCTTTTACATACTTGCAACTTACAAAAGCTGTCCCTTTGAGTCATTATGAAATAAGCATTCAACATACCAGCTTCTGGAAGAAGTCGCTTGCTGCCACCTTGGAGAACTGTGGCAGTATAATCTGAACCTCTTGCTCAGTTTTAGCTGGAAAAGAAGATTAAAAGTGAAAGCATAAATGTTTCTGTAATTGAAAGTTATCCTTGGAAACCCAGGTCTAAGTCTTCTTTCTGGAGGGAAGCGGAAGAAAACCTTTCTCCTAGTCACTTGTCCTTCCCCTTGGTTTAGACGAGTGGTACAGAAGATGCACTACTGGTCAGCCCCTGGCCCACTGTGACCTGTACCTTCCATTTGGTGCCTCCTGTGAGCCATACCCTGCTCTGAGGCTGGGAGAGAGTGGTGACAATCAGACACATTCCTTGCCTTCGAGGGGCTTATTTATAGCCTACTGGACGTCCTTTGGCACTCATACAGCCCTACTGAGCAGTCACCTACGTTCCAGGTGTGGCTGTTACGGAAGTACTGTGTCTCTCAGCACAAAGTCCTGGGCGAGATGTGCTCCCCCTTTTCGTTATTAACATGTGATGTGAGGATTTCACGGTGAGAAGTGGTTCGCCAAACTGTGTCCCTCGATAGCGTAAATCTCCACCAGCATGTTCACAGCAGGCTCAAGCTCACCATCACCATGAGGCTAGTCAGTTTCTAACAAAGGAGCCAGAGCAGGCTAAGGATCCACGAACAACAGTATAAGAAGAAAATCTGGGGAGGAAGACGGGGGCCACCAAGGTGAACAACCCCCTCTATCCACAGGATGGCCCTGTGGTTTCTTACAAACTGCTTGACACAGCGCTGGGCTCGGACAGGCGGCTCACCTGCTACAAGAACAGTGCCGCCACCTCCGGACAGCCTCGCCAGGGCTGGGCGTCTCCCTCTCTCCCTCCGAGGAGGTTATGTCCCTACCTCCTGGCCACAGGGCACGCTGTGTGGACAAGGAGGTGGCCAGTGTCCATGAAGGAGAATCCCTGGGCGCCGTCCCTGCTTCCACCTTCCAGCTTGGTCACCGGGAGCAAAGACCTTGATCTCCCCAAGCCTTTACTGCCTCATCTTTAAGATGAGGGCCATACTAGTTCCTCCCTCAGAGTTGGAGAGAGACTTGAATGAGATTCTGTATACATACGGTGCTTACTGTTGTGCCTGGCAGACCGCAAATGCTCAGTAGATATCAGCCAACGTTACTGCAATGACCCCAGGATTCTAGCTGGAGCAGGGCACTGTCTCTAACAAACTAGTCCCTGGAAACTGGGGTGGAACTCCAGAGACTGGGGACAGAGGTGTAGAAAGCAGGGTGGGAGAGGTATAGACAAAGGGGGTTCCCTCGATTGGGCCACCTTCCATCCCCTTCCCCTAACTCCTAGCAACATCCTAGTCATTCCTCACTGTGAAGGCCCCTCTCTGGGAGGCTCCCCACCCCCACCCGCCCGGGGAGAACTGACCGCCACCTCCCGAAGGGCAACACCCACTGTCCAGTTCACCTCTGTATTCCCGAACACCCTGGAGATGCTTAGAAAGTGCTGGTGGTGCCCAATCTCACTTATGTGTGGCATCAAAGACAGTCAAACTCAGAGAAGCAGAGAGAATGGCGGTTGCCACAGGTGGGAGGAGGAGGACAGGAGGAGATGCTGGGCAGAGGGTACAAAGTTCCAGTTATGCAAGATGAGCAAGTTCTAGAGATCTAACATACAGCATGGTGACCAGAGCTAACAATACTATAGTGTACATTTGAAATTTGCTAAACGGGTAGATCTTAAGTGTTCTCACCACACACACACACACACACACACACACAAGATGAACTAGACTTTGAAGAATTTTCACTGTCAAAGTAAAAATTTTCCCTGATTCCACTGTATCAGTGAAAAAGTTACTTCTCATTTCATAATAAAAATAATTTTTGTCCTAGAAAAAAATATCGGTGCTGATGAATGACAGAGAAAACAGGGGAAAGAGCAAGCCTAGGAGAGGGACTAAGGATGCACTTGGCTTTCAAACTATGGAGCCAGGGGCTAAAGACAGACAGCAAAGTGCAGTTTCCCAGGAGGCAGATGGAGTGTGGGTGGGTGTGGAGCGTAGCAAAAACATCAAGACAAAAGGTAGTTTCAGGGGTCCCCTGACTAGAGGTGATGGCTGGAACCCCAAAAGAGGTTGTGAGACTATAGGAAAGGAATCTAGAGGAACCAAACCAGGGAGAGGAGACCCTCGAGAATGCCAAGACGGGTGGGTGGGCTTGGGAAAGAAGATCAGTCAGCAAAGGGGGTGGAGAGCGGGGTGGGAGCAGAACCAAGGTGGCAGGGCACCCCGACACTAAGGGAGGAGTGTCGAGGGGCGGGAGGGGAGTTGGATGCTGCAGAGGGGCTGATGAGGACGAAAGCCATAAAGAAGCCCCCGGATCTGGGACAGACGAGATGAGAACTCCAGGGCAAGACCAGCGTCTCACGCCCTCCCAGCGCGAGCCACAGCGAGGGCTGCCCCACCCCTGCAGGATGAGCAGATGGAGCTGTGTGCCCGGGGCTCCCACCTCCCACACAGGGCGCACTCTGCTCCTGGCACGGGCCCCCAGGTCACTCACAGAGAATGTCGGGGGCGTCGACCAGGTTCAGCAGATCGTCGTCCTCTTGGTGCTGGGCGTACTTGAGCCGGGCCCGCTGGTGCGCCGCCGACAGCACCTCCTGCAGCACGTCGATGCTGCGCAGCTTCCTGCACAGGCTCGCCTCCCTCACGGACTCCTCGTGCTGCGTGACGGCTCTGCGCAGGTGCGACTTGCCTGCCAACAGAAAGTCAACATCACGTGACGGGGGTCCTGAACTGCAACGTGAGTACCCCCAGGAAAGCTGAAGTGCCCAAGGGTCAGCCCAGGAAGGCGGACGTTCTCTTTTCTGGAGGATCTGCCTGGACAGCTTAAGCCCCTCTTAAATGCAACATGCTCACTTGCGTCTATAAACATTCATTCAGCAAATATTTACCGAATGTTCTAGGCACTAGAGATAAAGCAATGAAGAAAAACCAGCCTCTGCATTCATGGAGTTTACATGCTAGTGGTTGACGACAGAGAATTAACAAGCAAAGAAATACGTAATGAATCATGTGGTGATAAAGTTATGGAGAAAAATAAAGTAGGGTAGGCAGAAGAGGCAAGAGAAGACTGGGAATGGAAAGTTGCTCTTCTATGGTGGGTGATCAGGGAAGGCCTTTTCGAAGGTAACTTTTTTTTTTTTGTGAGGAAGATCAGCCCTGAGCTAACATCCACGCCAATCCTCCTCTTTTTTCTGAGGAAGATTGGCCCTGGGCTAACATCTGTGCCCATCTTCCTCCACTTTATATGGGACGCCGCCACAGCGTGGCTCTCCAAGCTGTGCGTCGGTGCGTGCCCGGGATACGAACCAGCGAACCCCGGGCCACCAAAGCAGAGCGCGTGCACTTAACCACTTGCGCCACTGGGCCGGCCCCTCAAAGGTTAACTTTTTAGCAGAGTCCTAAAGGAAGTGAGGCAACAGCCATGAGGATATCTGATAGAAGATCATTCTTGAAAGCAGGAATAGCAAGAGCAAAGGCCCTGGGGCAGGAGCCTGCCTGTGTGTTCAAGGACAACAAGGAGCTTGGGCATGTGGCTGTAAGGAGTGAGAGATGGAGAGAAGGGTAGGCAATGAGGCCAGAAAGGAGCAGGGGCCAATCCATGTCCAACTTTACCAGTGCAGAGTGAGCACTTCTGCTCCTACTCAGCGTGAGATGGGAGCCCATTAGGGTGTGAGCAGAGGACCTATGTGATTTGACCCACGTGAACAGACTGAAGGAGCAAAGAGGAAAGCAGGGGGACCAGCCAGGAGGCCACGGCAGAAAGCTGGGCAAGCCGTATGACCTCTTTGGGCCTCTGTTTCCTCAACTGAAAAATGGGGATCACACCATACCTGTCTCATAGGGTCCTGTGAGGTTTAAGGGAGTCAATGTTTGGTAAGTAAGCTCTACAATAAGTGTGGCTTGGACAAGAGTGTAAGTAAGAAGTGGTTGGGTTTGGGATATGTTTTCTAGGTAGAGTAGACAGGATTTGCTAATCAAATGCGAGGTGAGAAAGACAGACAAGGGCAGAGAGTGAGTCCAGGGTTTCTGGCCTGTACCTCTAGAAGTATGGAGTTGCCATCACTGACATGGGGAAACTGTAGGGGGGTGTTGGGGGTCAGGTTTGGGTAGTGGAGGAATTCACGTTTGCACACAGAAAAAGATATTCACTCTGACACTTGGCAGAGACTACACCAGGACAATTCACTACCAGTCCTCGGGTGTGGCATAAGAAAATTAACCACCGTGTCCTTCCACATTAGGATGGCCAAGGGCCATCCCTTGGACCAGTGGGGCGCTAGACAACTGATCAAAGCTCTGGCTCCACTGGGGGAGGCCTGGTCCTCCTGGAACCCATGAGAACTCGGCTCTGGAAGCCTGCTGAGACTAGAGGACCATGCCTCATGGTTTCTGAATCCAGAGGGGCCACGAAGACCCAAGACACCCTATTCTCCGAGCCCTGGGGACCTGTCTGGGGTTGTCTGTGGGCAGGACCTGGTGGGCATCAAATGGGGCGCAGGGAGGGAGGGAACAGGAGATCCGGCACGCACCCAGCTGTTGGCGCTGGTGACTGTTTTTCAGCGTGGCCAAGGGCGTCAGTCCCTCAGGCATGTGGTCGTAGAGCTCGGACAGGCACTTCTCCTGGTGGTCCTCATCCGCACCAGGGCTCACTGCAATGAGACCCGCAAATAAATCCCTTCCCGTGGCCGTGGGCTCTGGAGACGGCGCCGCAGACCCACTTGGAGATTTCTCTTTCAGCCACATCTCCAGGAATGGCTGGAGGCCTCCAGCCACAGTTCCGGGAAAGGAATCTCCAGGTTCCGTGCTTCTCCAGTTTTACAAGGCACTTGGGACAACAGGGCTCCTTTCCACCCTGGACACACCCCAGGCAATCCAGCCCACAAGTCTATGCACGTCCTAGGGTCTCACGATTAGGCTCTGAGCCCCCACTCTCTACCTCCTCCACGTCACCCACCTCATAGAACCTCCTAGCAGAGCCTACCTCACACCTCTGGTGGCCTCTGTGCCTGCAGCCTCCCGGGCACGTGTCCCCTCTCGAACCTCTCCAGGCCACTCACCACCACCTCAACACTTCTGATCTCCGTTCCAGAGCTCAGACAGTGTTCCCGTCTAGCTGTCCTTTCCTTCCTTGGTCAGCTGGAAAAGTCCTCCTCAGAGCCCCAAGTCCAACCCAAGTGTCACTGCCTCTGAGAAACCACCCATGACGACGCCAAGGAGTCCAGTTGCTGCCTCGGTTGTGTTTCTACCGCAAGACTGAAGCCCGCTGTTTCTGCTGGTGTACATGACTTGTCCCGCCTCACAGATGAGACAATAACACCAGCTGTGGCGGCTAACACTTCTAGAGAGCCCACGATGTGCAAGGCACTAGGTAGCTTTGCATAGACACTTAGTTTCCACAACAGCCCTGTGAGATAGCTTCTCTTCACATCCCCATTTTACGGATGAGAAAACCAGGCACAGAGCAGTTGAGTAACTTGCCCAAGATCACACAGCTAGGCAATGGCAGAGCTGAGACAGGAACCCAGACAGTCTGGTTGCAGGCGTTGCCCCTTTAATTACTCTGGGGGCTGCCTTGATCAAAAGTCCCACCCAACCTCGGATCAGCGCCAAGACCAGCGTGAGGAGAGTGAGGCACTCACCTTGGGCTGAAAGTTTAAGGGGGTGCCAAAAACTCAGCAATCAAAATATATAAGATTTTATTGTAATTTTCTAAATATCAAAATCAATGCAAAAAAATCCATAATGAACAAAACATCAAAATTTCTTCTTGTTTCAGGCTCCAACGTGCCTTAGCACAGTGTTGCTATTGATCCGTGTCTTTATTTAAAATTTTGATCACCATGGAATTTTTTGCATTAATTTTGATTCATTTAAAATATTACATGAAAATGTTATCTTCATTCCTGAGTTTTGGGGCATCCCCTTAGATTCTGTGCCCAAGGCGAGTGCCTCTCTAGTCCCAGCCTGGTCCTGGCCCTGTTCTGGACTCCAGGTGAAAAGTCATCTCCATGGAGCTGTAGCTCCATCCCAGGCAGCGTTAATGCTACCCCGTCTTCCTCCCACAGTGGGACTGTATAACCCCGAATCCCGCCCTACCCTGTGTGACAGCTGCCTGGGCTGACATGTCACTTCCACCCTCTGCCCCCGGCTGTGAGCACTTCCAGGGCAGCAGACAACTCTCACTCAGCTCAGAATCTCCTGGAAGCAGGAAAACCGCCACCCTGACCAAAGCCCAGAGCCCCCGAGCCCCCGAGCCTTACACTGGTGGTCGATGAGGAGGGTGGCTGCGAAGTAGTGGGCCAGGGCTCCATAGTGGTGGGCCTTCACGCAAGCCAGGCTGGCCCAGGAGTAGGGGATGTTCTCTTTCACCGGGGCCTGGCTCATGGCTGCGTGCAGCTGCCGATAGACCTCTCCCACCTGGAACAGAAGGGACGTTGGGAAAGGGGAGCCCATCACAGGGGCCCTCATGCACCTGGGCTGCAGAGAAAGAGCCCTTTCTTCCACGTGGCAGCCCCTGCCAGAGGCCACTCCAGAATCTGGGAGAGACTCCAAGGGCTCCCCGTGCTGTCAGTGTCAGAGTTAACAGTGAGATCAGGCAACTGTCATTATGTTGGTTTTTAGGCTAAGCTGCAGATGGGATCAGTGATCCGTATCTGAAACACCAGTACTTGCCAAGAAAATGCAAGCCAGCACTCTGGCCAGGGCGGGCACACTGCCCAGGTCATGGGCCGTGGGAAGACTCTGCTGCATCCAGTGGGCCCAGACCAACGCATTCTCCCCACCCCCAAAAGCCACAGGAACCAGGAAGGCTCACCTTGGCAGCCTCCTGAGCCACCTTCACCAGCATAAAGAACTCGTTCCGGATCCCAGGAAGGCAGATTTTCTCAAAGACACTTTCTTGGGCTTGTGCGAGCATCATTTTGACCAGCACAGTGAGCATGGCGGGACTCATGTCGTAACTCGGGGTGTGAGTGAATGTCTCTTTCAGGTAGTTTAAAACTCCTACAATTGGAAATGTTTTGCACATCAGTTGGGGATCATATTTATCTCACCGTGCTGCTCTGAAGTGTAGAGAATGATAGAAGCAAAAATATAAACCCAGTGTCCTGGAGCACCTTAAAAAAATCCGATTCTCAATTACTATAGACCCAGGAACTCCACTCCTGGGTACATACCCCAAAGAACTGAAAGCACGGATTTAAACTGCTACATGTATGCCCATGTTCACAGCAGCATTATCCACAATAGCCAAAAGGCAGAAACCACTCAAATGTCCATGGATGGATAAACGGGTAAACAAAATGTGGTCTATACATACAATGGAATATTTTTCAGCCTTAAAAAGGAAGGAAATTCTGACAAATGCTACAAAATGGATGAAGACATTATGCTAAGTGAAATAAGCCAGTCTCAAGGACGAGTATTTTATGAGTCCACTGAGATGAGCTATCTGGAAAGTCAAGTTCCTAGAGACAGAAAGTAGAATGGTGGTTGCCAGGGGCTGGGGGGAAAGGGGAGGGGAGTTATTGTTTAATGGGTGCAGAGTTTCGGTTTGGGAAGATGAAAAAGTTCTGGAGATGGATAGTTGTACAACAATGTGAATGTCCTCAAAGCCAATGAACTGTACTCTTAAAAATGGTTAAAACAGTCATTTTGTTGTGTATGTTTTACCACAGTTAAAAAACAAAATCAGATTCGCTTTCAAAACATTTACATCTGTATCGAGCAAGGAAATCAGCCTGCTCCCTGTGCCCTCCTGTCTCTCCTGGGACAATTGCGAGAAATTCCAAACAGGACTAGGCATTCCACGGAGGCGAAAGCAGAAAGCAGGCAGAATGAGCGGCTCTCAGGGACAGGCTCAGAGTTAACACCTGGGTCATTGAGAATTCAGGGCTTTCCCCAGGACCTCAGGAAGGATCATCTCAGCCCATTCCAATGGAAATTTTCCTGCTGTAGCCCTCAGCTGACTTGTTTTACGCTTTAGAAAATTAACTGTCACAGCATTAACTGACAATCAACCTGGAGCCAAAATAAAATCTCCGCCATGAATCCCATCTGACTGGTTCCTCTGGTTTTGTTGCAAAGCAAAACTGCCCTGCAGAAGGATGGCAACGGATGCAGGCTGTGCGCTCCCCTCTGGGTTCGCTCCCACTCTGTTCTCGAGCTTCATTTTGTCCGTATCTCTGCAATCTTAGGTCACAAAGCATACCGGCTTAAGATTCCTCAGAAAGAAAATGAGCCCAGAAAAGGACCGACAGTGGAAGAAATCAACTCCCACAAGGAATCTCAGCATGCTGTTTCATCCCGAGGGATCAATCAGCCAAAAGGACAAAGGTCTGGTTCTTCACAGCCTTGCAGGGCAAAGTGAGATACCCAAAAAGGTTCTCTGCTGGGAGTAACACCCCAAAGCAGCGTGACAAGGACCAGCGCAGAAGAAACGTGCTATGGAGCCAGTTGGGGGATCACGCTGTGGTCTGCGCTGTGTCACTGCTTGTGCCCACCAGACCCCATGCCAAGTCTGCCGGACACAGGCCCTGCTGGAAGGGAGCAGAGCAGGACCCTGGACACCCACGAGCCAGGCCCGCCCACTGCACCCAGCCTGGCGACCCCTGGTCCTCTACAGATTGGTGCTAAGTGTCACTTGACAAAGGGCAGAGAAGAGCAACCTCAGTGGGTGAGCTTCACAGAATGAGCATAATATGAAGGCACGGAGAGTAATATACACTGATGAGGTACACCTGATAAAAGAAAAACAGCCTACATTTTCACTATTCGGGAAAATTTATTCTATTCTTCAACACAGCGTTCAAAGGAACAGTTCATTCGCTGCCATCCATGGGGCCACTCATTTGGAAAAGATTAATCATCAGCCACCAGATTCACTGTGCGCATGAGCCATACCCAGACTGAGAAGACAGGGTCTGAGCCATTGAGCAATTCTCTGGGTGGGAGGATGCACCAGCGCTGGAGACTGGTCTGGCCCTTTCAGGCCTGTGAGGCCAAGCGTGGGCCTGGGGAGGATCCTCAGACCCTCTCCACCTGGGGTACCTGGTGCCAGCTGGCGGGGCCAAGGCTCTATCCCGGCAGCCCTCGAGGAGACACACCTGCGGCTCTCTGAAAGGCGTCCACCGCACTCTCCAGCCCAGCCTGTGTCTGCCGATTGCTCCGGGTCCCGATCTGTGTGTAGAGGGCTCCAATGTTGAACAGAATGCTGGCCTTCTCCAGTAGCAAGTTCTGTTGGCTGACCGGAACCCCGGTGAGGGAGTCATACCTATTCAAAAGAAACATGTTGTGAGAATATGGATTACCTGGCTAATTAATGCCACTTTGGGGTGAAAACAGACAAAATTTACTTCCTGAATAAAACTCAAAGATGCACGTGCAATGAGGCTTTCATTTCCAAGCAAGATGACGGGCCTGATCATACTGATAAAGACACCCACAATCACACACAAAAATAAGGCTTCTCAACCACGATGTCCTTCAGGAGGTGAGTGGATAAACAAACTGTGGTACATCCATACAGTGGAAAATTATTCAGCACTCAAAAGAAATGAAGAAACAAGCCATAAAAAGACATGCAGGAACCTTAAATGCACGTTACTAAGTGAAAAAAGCTGATCTGAAAAGGCTACATACTGTATGATTCCAACCACATGACACTCTGGAAAAGGCAAAACAATGGAGACAGAAAAAGAATCAGTGGTTGCCAGGGCTTTGGAGGGGGCAGGGGGAGGGATGAGTAGCTGGAGCACAGAGGATTTTTAGGGCAGTGGAACTACTCTACATGATACTACAATGGTGGATACACGTCCCTCATACATTTGTCAAAACCAATAGAATGGACAACAGCAAGAGTGAATCCTAATGTTAACTGTGGACTTTGAAGGATAATTTGTCCATGTAGGTTCATCAGTTGTAACAATGTACCATCTGGTAGGAGATGTTGACAGTGGGGAGGTTGTGGGTGTGCGGTGGGGAGGAGGTATATGGGAAATCTCTGTACCTTCCCCTCAATTTTGCTGTGAACCTAAAACTGCTCGAAAAAATAAGTGTACTAAAAAAAAATAAAGCTTCTCCTAAATGAAATATAGCAATTACTAACCCTTTATAATTCTTCCTGAAGCCTAAAAGATTCAGGATCTGTTTTCAAGTTCACACGTCAACCAGGAGGTAGACATGGACCTTCTCCCTAATTGGAGACTAAGGAGAAATCATCCTTAGCCCTTTCACCACACAGGCAGCTAAAGGAAAAGTCATCTGCCTTTCCTTTCAAAAAGGAAGGCATCAGTAGCCGGCTGCTGTGGTGAAATTTTTTTTTTTTTTTTGTGAGGAAGATCAGCCCTGAGCTAACATCTGCCAATCCCCCTCTTTTTGCTGAGGAAGACTGGCCCTGGGCTAACATCTGTGCCCATCTTCCTCCACTTTATATGGGACACCGCCACAGCATGGCTCCACCAACGGTGTGTCGGTGCGCGCCCGGGATCCGAACCTGCCAACCCCGGGCCGCAGCAGTGAAGTGCACGCACTTAACCGCGTGCGCCACCGGGCCAGCCCCATGCTGTGGTGAAATTTTTTTTTTTTTTTTTTTTTTTTAAAGATTTTATTTATTTTATTTTTCCCCCCAAAGCCCCAGTGGATAGTTGTGTGTCGTAGCTGCACATCCTTCTAGCTGCTGTATTTGGGACTCGGCCTCAGGATGAACGGAGAAGTGGTGCCTCGATGCGCACCCGGGATCCGAACCCGGGCCACCAGCATCGCAGCGCGCGCACTTAACCACCAAGCCACAGGGCCGGCCCTGTGGTGAAATTTTTAACTCTGACTACAGCCCTTAGCTCTTGAGATTCACTCCTTTTCACCCACTCCTGAGCACACTCAGAGAAGACGTACAGCATCTCTGAAGTATTTAAACAACACTGATGTTTGAAAATACCAACCCCGGAGAAGAATCAAATGTTCTGCTTCCATTTTTAAAATGCGATCTGTTTCTGTTTGCTGCCCTTGTCACCCTCTTATCCCATCTGGGACAAAAATCTTGCTTCTTGTTAGTTCCACCTTAGAGCCCTGGTGTTTCCCCGACGATAAAATGAGCATTAAAAATGCCTCCTCTCCTCGGGCCGGCTCTGTGGCTTAGCAGTTAAGTGTGCGCGCTCTGATGCTGGCGGCCCGGGTTCGGATCCCGGGCGCGCCCCAGGGCACCGCTTCTCCGTCCAACGCGAGGCCGAGTCCCACGTGCAGCAACTAGAAGGATGTGAACCTATGACATACAGCTATCTACTGGGGCTTTGGGGGCTTTGGGGGGAAAAAAATGAATAAATAAAATCTTTAAAAAAAAAAAAAAATGCCTCCTCTCCTCAGCTCACTTGTTCTGAGAAGCAAGAAGCTATGGTCTGCTGGAGAGTTCTCCCCTTGGATCCCCTTCATAAATAAACACCAGTTTATCTACACAGCTTGGGGCTCTCCTGTATAAACGGGACGATTAGAAAGAGGGGCCGGAGTGCGGAGGAGCACAGCCCATTTGTGCAACAGCCTCGGAGCTGCTCAGCTCCGGAGCTGTGGCTGCAGTGGGAACACACGAGCACCTACCATGTGAACAAGATCCCCATCTGCCGGGTGGGCGGGAAGAAGCGACTCTCCACAAAACCCAGCTGGATGAAGTAACTCATCAGTAGTTCAACACCTGCCTCATCCCTGCTGGGCGTCCGACAAGCCTGAAAGGAAAGGAACCACCCAGGGGTGAGCAAGGTGAGGACACAGCAGATGGCGCATCCTGGGAGATGTCTGCATGTGCTATTTCTGCAGAGCTGGGGCCCCGCTGCTGGTATCATGAACTCTAGGAGGGATGGGAAGGGCTGGGACGAACTCAGGAGACTCAGACTCCAGCCCCAGACACGCCAGTGCGCGTGTCTGTACCGGTCTGTACTCTTCTCACGTAGCAAGTTGAAGTGATGGTTCAACAGCTCCTCCCTACCACTTCCAACCATCAGCGGTTCTATAAGACTTCAAGCGTGATAATGCAATATCCTGAAGCATCAACAAGCTCTCACAGCCAGCCTCCTCTCCCTGCCACACACCAAAACGTACCTGTCTCAGATCCATAAGATCTGCTATTTCATCCTCATATAGGTAGCTATCTTCACTGTAATGTTCCAGGATAAAATCCTGTAAGAAAAATGAGATAAGACACTGTAAGGTGTGATTCAAAACTTTAAATAGGTAAAACAGTAATGTCTCACGTGCCCCTCCCTTAAAAATACACATAGAATTCATTAAAAACTTACGGGAGATTGTATACTATAGTGATTTTCTGAGTGTGGGATTTATTTGCTTAATGTCATTTATGTATATTTTCAAATTTTGCTTTTGTTGCTTCAGCAAAAAGGAAAGTTGAAGTTATTTTTTATTTAAAAATGTCTTTGCAACACAGTGAAGCGACCTATACATTAAACAATTCTGGCAAACGTCACAGATATTCAGGGGCTCAGAACTTCATCCTTGGGGCTGCCCTCAGTACCTGGGCTTGGAGTCTTCTAGGCAAAGGACACTTGTGTCTGGGGACTGTTAGGACGATGCCACCCTCAGGGTCTGTGACGGGAACTATGTGAGAAAAGCTCTGGGCACATCCACAAATGAAGTACCCCAGCGAGACCCGCCAACCGGGCCGGCAGCCCAGTGTTTGACGACGGCTCTGTGAGTTACTTCAGTCACTCAGCATGTGCTGAGGAGGGCCTGCTATGAGCCAGGCCTGTGCACGGTGCTGGGGCTAGAGCAGGGAAGAAAACAAAGATCCTTCCCCATGGAGCTTACATTCTTGCAGGGGGCACAGACAGTAAGGAACAGGCACAGCAAATAAGTAAATTACCTTGTATATTAGAAGATGGCAAGTATTATAGGAAAAACATAAGAGTGGTGTAAGGGGCATGGAGATGGGTTCCTGCATAACATCCTCCACTGAGGAGAGAGACCATTCAGTTACGTCTTCTCAAGTGTCTGGGAGTATTCCCTTTACACACTTTCTACATTAAAGCCTCTCCTGCTTTTTGTATGTTCAATGCTATCTACACACACACACGCTTACAAAAATAGGAATGTACTGAGTGAATATATGACTTTGCTGTACTTTTTTTTTCAATTGGCAACGTATCAAACGTTTTCATACGCCACTCCCTAACATGACTTTTCATGGTTATATAATCCTCCAATGTAATGAATGTACAATTCACTTATTCAACAAATAAACTGAGCTCCTACTATGTGCTAGCCAATATGGACCACTATAGTCTTAAGCCCCTCTTATTGCACATTTAAGTCATTTGTAAATTTTACAATTAAGGATAACACTGTGACAGTCATCCTTGGGCACACCTTTGATTAGTGCCTCAGAATGAATCCCAGGAAGATGTCTTGCTGGCTCCAAGGATACACAGAAGGCTCCTTCTTTTTTTTTTTTTTATTTTTTTTTATGAGGTTTCATTACTTAGGCATGATTGATTAAATCCTCGACCATTGGTGATTTATTTATTTATTTATTTATTTGTAAGGAAGATCAGCCCTGAGCTAACATCCATGCTAATCCTCCTCTTTTTGCTGAGGAAGACCGGCTCTGAGCTAACATCTATCACCAATCCTCCTTTTTTTTTTTTCTTCCCCCAAAGTCCCAGTAGATAGTTGTATGTCACAGTTGCACATCCTTCTAGTTGCTCTATGTGGGACGCGGCCTCAGCATGGCCGGAGAAGCGGTGTGGCGTGCGCGCCCGGGATCCGAACCCGGGCCGCCAGCAGCACAGCACGTGCACTTAACTGGTAAGCCACGGGGCTGGCCCCTTCTGTCTTTTAATTTGGTCATTTTTACCCAACTTTTCATTTGATGATGCTGTCACAGATTTTCTTCACGACTTTACTTAAAATGCTGATGTTTCGATCAGCTCCTATCCTAATATAACGGCCATTTGTAAAATTTGAAATGGTTTTCAAATGTAATTAATTATGTTATTAGTGGCATTAATTATGGTGAGGATGATCTGGAGGACAAGGTCCATCTAGGGCTTCTCTGATGACATGCCTGAGAGCAGTGTTAAGGGCCACCACGCGGGAGACACTCAAGGATGAGAACTGTATCCTCTACAGAGCACCACGTTGTTCTGTCAGCTTCTACTGTGGACTCTGGCAACAATTTTGTTTTTTTAATTTTTATTTACTTATTTATTTTTTCCCCCAAAGCCCCAGTAGATAGTTGTATGTCATAGCTGCACATCCTTCTAGCTGCTGTATGTGGGACGCAGCCTCAGCATGGCCGGAGAAGCGGTGCATCGGTGTGCGCCCGGGATCTGAACCCGGGCCGCCAGCAGCAGAGCTCGAACACTTAACCGCTAAGCCACGGGGCCAGCCCAGCAACAATTTTCTTAAAATTAGTAGATACATTATACTCAAGAAGTTAAAAGAGAAACTTTATGTTAACCTCACAGAAGTCAAAGAGGATTTTAATAAATTCTAAATCTATTCCTGACTTTTGAAACTTAGTAAACTAGGATAGATTAAATGTATTTAGTAGGATAAAAATATCTAGCTGAAACCCACTGTAAACATCAGGGAAGAGACAAGGATGTCCACCATCTGCTATTAATTAGCATAATTCTGAAGTTTCTCTAGCCAACAAATTAAGAAAAATAAGAGATAAACATCAGAAAGGAAGAAACAAAATTATATTTGTTTTTGCAAAATAACAACATATTCACAGAACCCAACAGGGTCGTCAACTGAAAAACTACTAAATTAATAAGAATTCAGTAAAGTTGCCAAAAAGTTAATATATAAAAGTCAATAATCTTCCTTTCTTATACAAGCAATAACCAGTAAGAAAAATATAACAGAGAACAATAAGTTTCATAATCACAACAAAAGTACAATATTCCTAGGGATAAAATTAATTCAATTAATTAAGCAGATAACTATTAAACTTTACTGAAGGACATGTTACTTCATTCTTTCATTTATTCATGAAATCATTTTTTTGACAAGACAGATATGGTTCCTGCTCCCATAAAACTTGCTGTTTGTTGGGCCGGCCCAGTGGCGTAGTGGTGAAGTTCATGCACTTCACTTCAGCAGCCCGGGCGTGGACCTACGCACCACTCATCAAGCCATGCTGTGGCACGCATCCCACATATAAAGTAGAGGAAGATGGGTATGGATGTTAGCCCAGGGCCAATCTTCCTCAGCAAAAAGAAGAGGATTGGCAACAGATGTTAGCTCAGGGCTAATCTTCCTCACCAAAAACAAAAACAACAACAAAAAACAACAAAAAAACCTGCTGGGGCCAGCCGGTGGTTCAAGCGGTTAAGTGCGCGCGCTCCGCTGCTGCGGCCCGGGGTTCGCCCGTTCGAATCCCGGGTGCGCACCGACGCACTGCTTGTCAGGCCACGCTGTGGCGGCGTCCCATATAAAGTGGAGGAAAATGGGCATGGCTGTTAGCCCAGGGCCACTCTTCCTCAGCAAAAACAGGAGGATTGGCAGATGTTAACTCAGGGCCGATCTTCCTCTCAAAAAAGAAAAAAAAAACTTGCTGTTTGTTGACATCAACAACTGGAAATATTATGTTCATGGATGAAAATGTGCAATACTGTAAAGATGCAATTTTGTCCAAATTAAGCCATGAATCTAATGAAATTTCAATCAAAACCCAAAAGTACTATTTTTGGGAAACGTGACAACATATGGAAGCAAAGGCATGGAAGAAGAGCCGAGAACACTTGGAAAAGCACGGTAATAAAGGAGGCTTGCTCTAATTGCTGTGAAACACCCAGGGGTTAAACAGTGAGAAATGACAGACAGTGGAACCAGATATGGATCAGAAAGAGAATGAAGTAGATTGGAGAATCAGCCATATAACAAAAGCCAGGATTCCACAGGAGTGGGAGAGGCTGGAGCATCCATCAGGTCCATGCACGAAGGAGGCGGCACACAACAAACGGTGTGCATGATGTGAATTTAAGGAAAGGACTATTACAGCGGTGTGGGCAGGGTTATGGGAAACCACAGGGACGGTGCAGGACCGCCAGAGTCCTCAGAACCCCAGAGCTGAAGGATCAAGGGGCAGAAGGAGCTATGGAAACCCGAAGAGATGGCTACCTGAGGTGGGCACCCAACAGCCACCAGGAATGCAAAAGGAAACCAACTGAGGAATAAATCCCCAGACTTCCCTCTTCGCCTACCCTCTCATCTGCTGCTGTGCTCCTTCCCCTCGGCCACACCCAATAGAAGCCACAGAGCAGGAGCCTGCTGTGGCCTCCCCTTGGCACAGAGCAGGTTGGAGGAGGGAGGATGGGGGCACGGAGGGAAATGGATACCATCCAGCACCACAGATGGATTCTTTATACGTAGTTTGGGGAAACTGGCTACCCACTGGATGAAAATAGAAAGTTATAGCCCTACACCTCATTTTTTACCCCAAAACAAATTCCAGATAGATTAAATATTTAATGTTAAAAAATTTTAAACAAAGCACTGGGAGAAACTATAGCAAAATATTTATGTCATCTTGGTGTGGACAATGCCTTTCTGAACATGTTATCAAGGCAGAATTGTAAAGGGAAAAACGGATAAACTTAACAATATAAAATCTGTATGGCAAAAAAAAAAAAGTTATACTTTTTTAACCAGTTATTGCTTACATAACAAAAGTTAAAGGAGAGAATGTACCGAGAGAAATATTTGTAATATATACAACCAAGGGTTAAAATCCTTCATATGGGGGCCAGCCCAGTGGTGTAGTGGTTAAGTTCACACTCTCCGCTTTGGTGGCCTGGGGTTTGCAGGTTTTGATCCCAGATGCAGACCTGCACACCGCTCGCCATGCTGTGGGAGCATCCCACGTACAAAATAGAGGAAGATTGGCACAGATGTTAGCTCAGGGACAATCTTCCTCAAGCAAAAAGAGGAAGATTGGCAACAGACGTTAGCTCAGGGCCAATCTTCCTCACCAAAAAAAAAGAAATCCTTCATATGTAAAGAAATAAGAAGAACAACAGTATGGAAAAGCAGACAAAGGACAGAAACAGGTATTCCCAAAAGGAAAAACTGAAGGGGCGAATAAACACACATGAGAATGTATTGACCTCCAGTGCCGATCAAAGAAAGGCAAACTGTAATGTTATCATTTTTGCCTGATTTCACAAAAATCAAAAAGATATTTTAAAAAATCAAAATGATGAATGATACCCAGTGTAACCAAAGGTGCAGGAAGACAAGCAGTCACACACAGTTGGAGGAACATAAGGCAGGACCACTTCTGGTGGATAATTAGGTAACATATATCTTTGACCTTCCAAGTCCCCATCTAGAAATGTATCCCAAGGGAATACTCAATGAAATGTGTAAAGAGGCTCGACCGAGAGCTGCTGACAACAGCAAGTATTTGGAAGCTGCCTAAAGAACGAAATTCACAGCCACCCTGTTTAGGGCCTACTACCAGCAGACACCACTCGAAGCTGTCATGGACAGGATGAGTCACACCCTTGAGAGGAGGCCCCCGATCAGAGGAAGAGATCCTGTGTCCAAAGATTAAGTGCTGAGCGAGTTACAGAGCTCAGTGGGAATGGGTCATGGGACTGTGAGGGATCTTTACGTGTCTTTTCTGAATGTTTTGCAATACTGTTCTTCATCAGAAAAATAAATAAAGTTGTATTTAAAAGCAAAAAACAATTTCAATTCTCTGAAAAGGGAATTTATTTTGATGATGTTTTCCAATGAAGCCACTTTAAAGCCCATTTATTTAAAATAGAACAAAATCACACTGTGAAGCTTTACTGACCATTAAACATTACAGGGACACACAGAGACTTGAAAGACAACTGAGCTGCCCTGATTAAGTCAGCCAAACTGCTTCTGTGGCACCTGTCTGTGTTATTCTCAAGTACAAGTGTGGAAGGGAGAAAACAGAACATCCTCTAAACGTTCTCATTTTTGTGTGACCGACATTTGTCGAGTCCCTTTCAGGCCAAAATGACATGGTTGGAAGCCTCAGCTGAATAGCAGTTGGCATGCCCACAACATGTGATTTTTTTCACTGGCTTTAATGTGGAATTCAGCACGTGACGCATTTGGGTCCTTACAGATGCTCATAAACTTCCCAAGTTTCTCTGAGAATCTCTCCTTTAAAATGCCTGCACTCTTGCAGCTCTGGCACCGAGCAACAAACTAAATCTTAACGAAACTATTCTACAAAAGCAACCAAAGACACTTCTGCAGACATAAGGATCGTCTCGGGTCTCAAGGACCCGTGGCAAGCGTCACATCTAAAAGTTCAGGCAGACTGTGAGAAGGTAGTGTACAGCGGCGGCTCCTGGATTGTTTTCTCCCCTGAAAATCAAATCTCTGGTAATCCTGGGTCCAGCAAGACTCCCAGCGTCCCTTCTCAAACTCCAAAATAAACCCCAGACTCACGAGGACCAGGACCTGGATTTAAACAAGGCAGCGGTCAAAAAGGCCCTGAGAGAAAAGGCTTATGTCAACCGACTCAGTCTCTGCCTGAGAATGGAGGTCAAGTGCAGAAATTTCAAAGTGTTAACCAATTGCTTCTAAAAGAACAAAATTTATAGTGCCCAAAATGCCATATAAGTTTTTCTTTTCTGAACTAAAAGTAGTCCACGATGAGTCAACTAAGAGGATTACTATGAAAAGAAACTGAATTCTTTGAAGCATTTTTCACGGTGCCGGGATTAACTCCTATACACCATGCCTGTGCTGGAAAGCTCAGAGACAGGCACCACCTTCCACCTTGTCTCTACTTTCTCCTCCTACGTGGAAATTTGAGGTGATTCATTAACACTCAGGGTGAGGAGCTGGGGAGAGGAGGGCACCCCAGGCACTGGGAGGCCTCTCCTGGACCCGGCCCTGGGGCAGGGCACCCCTGGGTGCTGCCATCAAAGCACCTTTCCCACCCCCCACCTGAACTCCCCACTGAAGCACAGGCCCCAGAGGCAGGGCCCGTGACATCGCAGCATCCAGCACGGTAACAGGCACAGGCAGGCCTACAAGTACTGGCTGCTTGCCAGAAACACACAGTTAAGAGGAGGCCAGATACTGTTCACTTTAAAGAGGTGAATTGTACAGCATGTGAATTGTATCTCCATAAAGTTGTCATTTAAAAAAAAAAGAAAGGAAGGAAAGAAGGGGGGGAGGGAGAGAGAAAAGAGGAGGCAGATACTCAGGATTTAGATGGGGGCGGGGGGTACTCATAAACTCTAGCTACTCAGGTATTTAATGGTAGTGAACCAATTTGATTTACTTTGAAATGCATCAGAAAATAAGATGGACTGATGTATAGACAGAGGGATGCCGAGATGGACAAATACGTGATGAAGTGACTATACCAAAATGTTCACAGCAGAATCTAAGTAGCGAGGATACAGGGGTTACTGTAAAATTCTTTCTGTTTTTCTCTGTTTGGAAATTTTCACAATAAAATGTTGAGGAAAAAACTAGCTATTCGTCCAAAAATACGGCCTAAAGTGGTTACAAATTTTAAGAAAAAATACTATAATAGGATACAATTTTAAAATCCACAGCACGTCCACCACAGACCCTCTTTGACTTGGCCTCCCAGAGCAGGGCAGGCCGGGTTTCCAACCCCTTCCCCAGGCAGGCAAGGAGCGTCAGGGTGACCAGAGGACTGCACAAGGCTCCCGTGTGGCCTGCCGAGGGGCTCAGGGTCACCCTGCAGAAATCAACTGCCCATTGAGCCTAAGGCCACTTTCAGGGGATACACAATTTCTTGATTTCCCTTTTAAACAGTGAGTCCAGGGCCCATTGCTTAGAGATTTACCTTGAGAACAACTGAAAAGTCAATGTCCTTGGTCTCCTTCAGGCCAAGCGGGATCAGGGGAATCGTGAATGCCTCCCTATAAGGAACACAGCAAGGTATATGAATGTCCCCGTCCCGGCCACTCTGCACCCCACAGCCTTCCCCCAGCACACCATCTCCTCACGCCCATCTAGCACACGCCAGCTCATTTCCCGTAAGACGACCCGGGTCACATCCCTGCCTCTGTCCTAACACTGCTCTCTCAGTCCCTGCGACTCCTGGACTAGCCAGCCGAACGCAGGAGGCCCCACCACCTCCACTCTGCTTTATCCTCCAATCTCAACCGTTCTTGCAGCAACCGTGCTCGAATCTATAGTGCGCCAGGGTCAGCGCCTGCTGTGCTCACTGCTGCCCCACTGGGTACACCACCCTGCCCCTGGAGCTCCTTCGTCAGCCCACCCTCCTCCTCCTCTCCTCACTGCAGTGGGGCCCCTCTACACAGCCCTCCAACCCTGGGCTCTCAGGGGCCTCCTCCTGTGGGGCGTTGCCCTCTAGGTGTCCCAGCACCTGCACAGGGCAGGGCCCGTCTGACTCCTGAGCGCGCCTTGCTCCAGCGCTTCCCCTCCACCCCCCTTCCCCACCGACCGCCTGGTTACCACCTGGTTACCCCACAGGCCGCCCTGGGAGCCCTCCCTGAGCCAACAGGAAGTGAACCGGGCTCCAGCCGTGTCTTGCAAATAGGGATTTAGCTCCCTGACCTGTAACAGGAGACCTCCCGAGGCTACTCAGCCTGGCCCGGGAGGAGGCCAGGAACGCCGGGCAGGTGAGTGGACAATGCAGCTGTAAGCCGAAACTGCCCCTGCGGCGCAGAAAACAGGGCTGTGCTGAAAGCAGGCAAGACCCATGGGGTGTGTGGCTTCCCCTAAGCCCGCGGGGAGAGCTGGACCCTGCTGGAAGGAGACGAGGACGGGCCATGCTCTCTCCTCTGGGCCCCAGCGACCCCTGTCCTCACCCCAGCAGGGGCTGTGACTGTCCAGGAGCAGCGGGAGTCCTGAGGCCCCCTCGAGCCAATTTTGTGCTAACATCACTTTCTCCGTGACCTCTGGCCTCCCTGGGTTTTCTGACTTTTTTTTTTTTGTGAGGAAGATCGGCCCTGAGCTAACATCTGCCAATCTTCCTCTTTTTTGCTGAGGAAGACTGGCCCTGGGCTAACATCCATGCCCATCTTCCTCTACTTTATATGGGACGCCGCCACAGCATGGCTTGACTAGGTGCATTGGTGTGCGCCTGGGATCTGAACCGGGGAACCCCAGGCTGCCACAGCGGAGCACGCGCACTCAACTGCTTGTGCCACCGGGCTGGCCCCTCCCTGTGTTTTCTCATCTGCGCAATGAGATTGTTTCTTCCCTGCCTCCCTCACAGAAGTGTTTAAAGATCAACTGTGCTAAGAAGCAATCTGCTTTGAAAATAGGAAGAGAGGCGGCTGCAAATGCGAGGTGTCATTATGAACCTGCACAGCTCTCTCCCCTCTTCCCAACGGCACAGGGGATCACTAGCCACTTGAGAGCCACACTGCTAACACACAGGGGTCTTTGTGGGACGCCCTCCTGAAGGACATGCCTGCACTTGAGGACAGCAAGTCAGAATACGAAACATCCTACATTTATCACCAAAGTTTGGCCCTGTCTCGCCTCCTCAAGGAACTCTGACCTTTTGGGCAAACCACTGGCATTTAAAACCACAGCGCAGACCGGGAGAAGCCCATCGCCTGCTGTTCTGATCAGGTGTTCAAACTGCAGTGGGGCCCGCAGGGAAGCGAGCCAGCGCCAACGGACGTCACAGAAGGAGGAGCAGAGGTTCACGCAACAATGCTTTCCCTCCAGCTCTGAACAACACCCCAGGTGCCACGCAGAGGGTTGGGGACGATTGGGAAAAGTATATTCCAAAGGCGACTCAAGGTTCCCAAATGTCCTTCTGTTAATCCAGGAACTATTTTCTGACGGAGTCTCTCTTGGGGCTCCCCTACTTCTTAGAAGAAGTCTTACTTCCCCACACAGAGAAGCAGGTAAACCACTCTGTCGAGGTTCTCCAAGTCATTTCTTCTTAAAGGCGGACACTTCCTTCCAAGGTAGCTCCCCCCACGGCAGGAGACTTGCTGAGCTTTTCCGAAGGCCACGCCTCAATATTTCGCCTCCCACAGACACTCCCTAAGGAATGCTTCTGAATTAGAACACTCACTGCTCAAATATTTACCAGAGTGCATGTCCAAAGTGTCTTAGTTACACCGTCTCCTCAGGGAGCTCGCAAACATCTCATAATCTTTGACGTAAAAGGCAGTTTGTATGTTTTTGCATCCTACCAACAGAATGACCCAGGGCCAGGCCCTACGCATGGTGGTGAGGCTGAGAGGGAAGAAGGCAGGGCAACTTGGGCCCCACCTGGCAGGTTGGCTCTCACAGCTAACCAGAGAAGTGCTTCCAGGGCATCTTTATGGCAGAGCCATCACCCAGCCCATGTGAGAGATGCCATCTCCCCGCCTGGACCCAGCCAGCAGCTCTCTCATAAAACTATGTCCCAAGGGTCCCAGGACAAATAAAGGCCTTTTTGTCCAACTCTCCAGGTATTTCCAAAAAACTCCATGGGTTCATCCCTTTAACTCTTGCACCTTGCTCAACCCCAAATCTGAGCATTCCTTTACTTCCCAGGACTATCTGTGTACCATCTCTGAGGCAGGCATGTTCTGAGGCTCAGAAAGTATCTGGAAGAAGCATTGCCCCCACTTACTCTGTGCTCTGATAGACTCCCACTGAGATGTTGAGCCCCTCCAGCTCTTCCTTGAGCATCTGCAGGTCTGAGTTCACGAAGCTGAGTTCCAGGCGCACTTGCTCCCGTACCTTGGAGTTCGTGGCTGCTCTGTTAAGAGAGAGGGGGAAGAGAAGCACCCTCAGCCAAGCATCCCAGCTGCCAGGTGAGCAGACCCCCCATCTCTACAGGAAAGCTCTAGGGTCCACTTCAGATATGAGTGCCAGATGTGATCAGATAAGGTGCCTCAGAGATGCTGGGTACCTGCCCCATCTTGAGCCACACCTGCCAGTAAATGGATCCTGGACATAACCAAAGACACCAAGCTGTCAGACATGAATCCTAAGACATCTCTGCAAAGAACTGGCCTTGAGAAGAAAAAAGAGAACTGCTCTCAGCCACCCATAAAAGACCATAAACTATGCCTTTAAAAGGAAATGGGTTAGAAAATAGAAGAGGAGGTAACACTTCCTAGTTCATTCTATGATGCTAGTATCGCCCTGACCCAAACCAGAGAAAGACATCATAAGAAAACAAAACAACGGACCAATATCCTTCATGAATATTTGCAAAAATCCTCAACAAAATATTAGCAACCCAAACCTAGCAACATAAAAAAAAGCATTATACATCATGACCAAGTGGGATTTATCCCAGGAATGGAAGGTTGGTTTAACATCTGAAAATTAATGTAACATACTATATTAATAGAATTAAGAACAAAAAATACATGATCCTCTCAGTAGATACAGAAAAAAGCATGTGATCAAGTCCAACACAGATTCATGATAAAAATTCTCAACAAACTAGGAATAATACAGAATTTACAAAACTTGACAAAGGGCATCTATGAAAACCAACAGCTAACATCATACTCAATGGTGAAAGACTAATGCTTTCCCCCTTAGGACCACGAACAAGGCAAAGGTGTCCACTTTTGACACTTCTAATCAACACTGTACTGGAGGTTGAAGCCACTGGCAACAAGGTAAGTAAAGAAATTAAAGGCATCCAGATTGGAAAGGAAGAAGTAAAATTGTCTTTATTCACAGATGACATTATCTTGTATGTAGAAAACCCCAAGGCATTCACAAAATGAATACTAGAACTAATAAACTTAGCAAGGTCACAGGATATAAGTCAATATATAAAAATCAATTTTATTTCTATAGCCAGCAATGAACAATCTTAAAATGAAATTAAGAAAACAATTTCATTCACAATAGCATAAAAAGAATAAAATACTTAGGAATAAATTTAACAAAAGAAGTGTAAGACATATACCGAAAACTACAAAACACTGCTGAGATATTAAGTGGAGAGACATTCCATGTTTATGTACTAGAAGACTCAAGATGTCATTGTCAAGATGTCAGTTCTCCCCAACTGATCTATCGATTCAATACAATTCCAATCAAAACACTGGTAAACTTTTTAGTAGAAATTGACAAGCTGATCCTAAAATTTATATGGAAATGCCAAGGACCTAGAATAGCCAAATAATTTTGAAAAAGAAGAAGAAAGTTGGAGGACTTGTGCTATCTGATTTAAAAACATAAAAAACCAAGACAACATGGTATTGGCACAAGGATAGGCAATGGAACGGAATAGAATCCAGAAATAAATCCTTACATTTGTGGTCAATTGATTTTGACAAAGGTGATAAGACAATTCAAGGGGGAAAAGACAGTCTTTCCAACAAACGGTGCTGAAGCAATTGGTCATCCATAGGTATGTCAGTGTCCCCAAGACCACCCCAGGTTCAGTGATTCACTAGGAGGACTCACAGGACTCAGCATGTAGTTGTACTCAGGGCTCTGATTTATTACAGCAAAAGGAAAAGGACACAAAGCAAAATCAGCAGAGGGAAAGGTGCATGAAGTGAGGTCCAGAGGAAACCAGGCGCAGGCTGCCAAGAGTCCCCTCTCTCAGGGGAGTCACACAGGACAGCTTAATCAGTCCAGCAAAGACCTGTGACAACACATGTGAAGTGCTGTCTACCAGGGAAGCTCATTAGGGACTCAGGGCCCAAGATTTTCATTGGAGGCTGGTCACATAAACACCCCCTGCCTAGCAGGTACCCAAATTCCAGACTCCCAGAAGGAAAGTGGGTGTCAGCATGAACTATATTGTTGCACAAACAGTTTAGGCACAGTTGAGCCCTTCTTATCAGTTCTGGGAATGGTGGAACTCTCCTGAAATCTAAGTCTCCAGATACCAGCCCAGGGCCAACCTTGCAAGCTGGGCTTTCTAAGGATAACCATCTCAGGCTTGCTATGATGACTGTTTTCTGCACAACAGGCAAAAAATAAACCTCAATTTAAATCTCATACCATACACAAGTATTATGTCAAAATCGATCAGAGACCACAATATAAGAGCTAAAACTCTAAAACTTCTAGAAGAAAATGTAGAAGAAAATCTTCATGACCTTGCGTTGGGCAAAATATTCTCTGCTACACACCAAAAGCACAATCCATAAAAGAAGAAATTGATAAATTAAACTCTATTATAAATTTAAACACTTCTGTGCTTCAGAAGACACCATCAAAAAAAAATGAAAAGATAAGTCCCAGACTGGAAGAAAATATTTGCAAATTATATATCTGATAAAGAATTTGTATCTAGAACATATAAAGAGTTCTATTAATTAAATAATAAAGAGACAATACAATTTTTTTAAATGGGCAAAAGATATGAATAGAGATTTTACTTAAGAAGACGTATACATGGCTAATAAGCACACGAAAAGATGCTCAATTTCATTAGTGAATAGGGAAATGCAAATTGAAACCATAATAAGATACCAATACACAGCTGCCAGGTTGGCTATAATAAAAAAGACAAACAATAACAAGTGTTGGTGAAGATGTAGAGAAACTGGAACCCTCATATATTGCTAAACGTAAATGACACGGCGACTTTGGAAAACACCTGGGTAGTTTCTAAAAATGTTAAACATAAACTTACCATACAACTGAGTATTTCCACTCCTAGGAATGTATATAAGAGAAATGAAAATATATGTCCAAAGACACATATGTGAATGTAGCGTTATTCATAATAGCCAAAAAGTGGAAACAATCCAGATATCCACTAACTGGCAAATGGATGCTTGAAATGTGGCATATCCATAGGACAGACCAGTGTGAAGCCATGCAAAGAAACAAACTTTACCCCAGTCCTCAAGCAGAGGTTTTGACACGCACTCGAAGACCTTACAGGTGCTCCCTCATTTTGCAGATTAGGAATCACCACAAAAATCACAGTGGCGTTAACAACCAAGTATCACGCACATTTCCAGGAACCGTCCTGGCAAGTCCTCAGTCATCTCTCAGACTAGGTTCTAGAACCGTCCTCAGTTCACGGCTGAGGACACCTGACGTTCATCAGCCAAGAGCTCCAGCCAACCAGAGAGAGGGCGCCTGACCACCTGCCCCTCCTCAGCTGATGAAAATCCAGCCACCTGTCGCGGCTTGCTCTGCTCACCACCTGTCCATCTTGCCTCCAGTGAGCAAAGTGCTAACCCACTTCCCCTGCAGCCTGCCCTCTCCATGGGGGCTCTCCCCACCACGCCACACATTTGAGCCTTTCAGTTTCTCTCCATGATGTATTTATGTTCCTTTTCTCTCTCCCCCTCCCTTCACTGAACTCCTCCTTGACGCACAAGCTTATGCCTCTCCCCTCAGTAAAAGCCATGCTTGACCCTGGCTGCAGATGGCACTTGTCCTCTCGCTGTCCAGTAAGTTTGCACACGTGCACGTTTGGGCTCCCCAGATAGGCAATGAGATACTGGAAGCTCAGCTTGGTGAATATCATTGGTTTGGGAATTTGTTTTTGGGGGCCATGATCACAAGAAATACATTTTATGTCACAACACAGTACACACACACGCACATGTGCACACACACACAGACACATGCACACACACACACCTCTAAAACAAAAATCACACGAAGCCATACTTTGCCATACTTGTGATGCACTCCAATATAGTCTATTCCACTTCAATAACTTCTTTTTTTAAAATGATGCTGTTTGCAGTGCTCCAATTCTGATTCCCTGAACACCAACTCCCAGGGATGGCACAGATCCCACAGGTTACGGGCTCAGTGCCCACAGGACCGCCCCCACTTCAGGCACCAGTTGCAAGGACAGGGCACCTATACTTCTGACCAGCCAGCTATAAATCAGGGGTTCCCACAACCCCCTCCTCAGGTTCAATAATTCCCTAGAACTCACAAAACTCAGGAAAACACTTTACTTACATTTACTGTGGTTTATTTTCAAGAATACAACTCAGGAACAGCCCGATGGAAGAGATCCAGAGGCTGAGGAGGGGGCGGAGCTTCCACACCCTCTCCAGGCGTGCCACCCTCCAGCACCTCGATGTGTTCACCAACCCAGAAGCTCCTCAAACCCCTTTATTTAGGCTGTTATGGAGGTTTCACTACATGGGCACGACTGATTAGATCATTGGCCATCGGTGATTGAACTCAATCTCCAGCCCCTCTCTCTTCTCTAGAGGTCTGGGGCTGGAGCTGAAAGTGCCGACCCTCTAATCAGGCTGGGTGTTTCTGGCAACCAGTCCCCCATCCTGAAGGCCCCCTTCTCCCATCAGGAGTCATCTCATAGGCATACAAAAGACATTCAGGAGATTCCAAGGCTTGTAGGAGGTTTGTGCCAAGAACCAGGCACAAAGACCAAATATTTATTTTTTATTATAACACAGCAACCCACTGAACTGATTTCATTACACACCATGAGCCCAACCTGCAGCTCGTAAAAACTGTGCTACAGAGATATTACTGAGAACGTAGCTGATGCACTAGTTGATAATGTCCATGAGGACGCAAGCGAGAAAATTCTCCCAGCCCTCAGGATTGGGAATGGCTTCTTTTAGCAACTTTTGCTTTTGGCTAATGGGTATGAAATGTGTTCCTGATCACATTCCCTTCTTCTTATTGCCTGCCAGGAAGGTCAGAGACAAACTGTGGCCCACGTCTAACAAAGGATATAGGACCTTCCAGCATGTACTAGCCTTACTTCCAGCTAAATCTCTTTTATGTTCTTCTTCCTCCTGCCTCCATAGCCTCACTCACTCCTGTTTT